TTGGAAGTTGGTATTCCATAGTAGGCAAGTTTGGGTCAAATGTCTCCCCTGAGGTGTATTATTCACAGAACAGTCCGCACAAATGATGCTGCAAAATGCTTAATGCTTAAAGCCCTGCACATTGCAACAAAAAAAAATGTATTGGGAATGATTTGTTGTTTCACTGAAATGCACTCATTACTCACTGCCTCTGTGGTACAGTAATTATGATGCATCCTCTATGGGCAAGATGAGTAAGACACAGTATGCTATCCCAGCCACATCTGAGTATTCATTTTGTGCTCTCCATTTTTTTCCAATAGAGTTTCCAATAGAGTTTTCTAATAGTTTTGTCTAAAAATATCTTGCTGAATGGTCTCATTGGTGTTGCCTTACCTATGTAGCATAGTTACATGTGTTAGCAAGGCAATCATAATTTGCCTGCAACTCATTAAACATCTTACACTGCCTGCTGATCTTCAAAAGAGAAATGATTTTAAAAATGTGCATAATGGAGATGGGTAAAAGAAATTATTCAGTACTCCCAGTAATAGTAATTAGTGTCAGGTCAGCATGGTTTGACAGGTAAGGCATGGGAAATAAAGCAAGCTGGGATTCTGCTTGGGTCCAGCATGACCTAGCTCAAGCTCTGTCCTGTCTCTGTGCCTGTTTTCCCACCCATTGATTTCCTATTTTTGTTGCCTGCACATATTGAAAACTTCTTGCTCCAGGGACAATTCTACTTTCTGTGCTGTACCTAACAAATTGGGTTCAAAGACTTTAAACCCTCTGAAGTTCCCGAGACCTAATGTAATGCAGATTTCTTAATGTGCAATTGTATACAAGTGATTAGAGAGGGAAGGATCACATCATCTTTTTTGTTTTGTTCAAATGTTTTATCTTCCATTGTACTTTCATCCCTTTCCCATACCCAAACTTCCTCTCTGGTTTTATCATTCAGCAGTTACTATTCTCAACTTCCTTTGAAGTTTTGCATTTTATAGAGGAAAGCCTGGATTTGGCTAATGTAAAAGCCTATGAAAAAGGTTAACTTACAGTCAACTATTCTTATTGATGACTTCTAAGATAAATATGGCTTTCTTGGGCAGAGGTTTACACTAAATAAGTAAATATTAAGGATGTATGGCAGCACACAAAGAACAGACACACATGGGTATAACACTGCAAGGCCCAGTGATTGAAGGGCTATTGATTGGGATGGAAACACAGTGTAGTTTGAACTATACATTTAGATTAGTATGGATCAGTATTTGTTCCTGATTAATACTCCTATATTGAACAGTTTCTCTCTTACAGGAAGGGTTTGGTCCTTAGCATCAGCTCTTGACAATAGCAATACTCACTCAAGATTACTCATACAAATAGTCACAAGTATTTATTCCTTAATGTAGTGCTTTCATACATAGCACTTGCTACTCATTTTCAGAAATATCACTTGCGGTTTTATATGTGTCTGGTATTAGATTAATTCTATGCTGAGAAAATGGTCACATTTGTAAGCATACACTTCTGGTCAAACACTGTTAAAAATAGGATGGAACATCAACAAGCAAATGCATATCAAGACCTCCTCTGAAAGAGTTTGAATAGATTTAGAATACTATTTTACATTTCAGCTAATGTAAAATGCTTTTTTTTTTTCCACTCGTGTATATAACTGTGGAAGTAAAAGGAGATAAATAGTTTCCTTGTTAGTAGAGGCATTCAGTAAAGGCCAGTGAAAACTGTTCTTATTCCAGCTAAATGTGAACAACTTTTCTGTTGCCTAAACTGAAATGCCTAAATGGTTTGAAGTTGGAGAACATGCTTTAAACAGCACAGTTGAGGATTTTTTGTTGTTGTTAGTAATGTACACAGCTTTTGAGAATCACAGGCTGTTGGCAAGGCATTGGACTACCATCTAAAATACATTAACGGGGCATGTTCCTCATAATTGTACAACTCTACAAGGAAAGTAACACAGCATAATGTAAAGTTCTGTTCAATGCTGAAATGCTTTATAAATAATGCAGACGTCTAATACATAGTCACTTCTTATTAAAGAAACGTGGTTACTATAATAGGAAAGATTTTACAATTCTGTCCCAAATCCCTCCTCAGTCTCCATAAGTTAGAGAAGCATTAAAATGTGTATTTTACACAGAAAACAGCCAAGCAGTAAAACTAAATTATGTCATTGCCATATTTGAGAAATGGTATTAGAATACAGAATATATTGTTCTTACTGAATGTTACTAGTCCAATGTTAAGGCCAGGGCACATGATGCAAAACTTCAAATAAAATGGCACATATCACCTGATAAACCAAATTTCAGCTTTTGCTTTTCCTTCATCCACAAAGGGTACCTAATTCTTTCTCTGCCTCGTATCTTACATCAACACATCTGCCCATGTAACTTCACTGTAAAACACAGCTAGCCAAAATGGCAGCTTTTTCTGTCTTCTTCCCTCAAGCGCAAACAAGCAGAGAATCAGCTTCCTGTAAAAGCTGCTGCCACTCAGCAAGGAAGTCCAGCTTTACTTCTGTGCATTTTCAAACATGCCTAGACAAAATATAGGTTCCTACACCCAATCCCTGGCTAGTTTAAAAAGATTGTTCCACAATCCAAGTTCCTTAAAGATATTTTTAGTCATTTTCATCACTGTTTTTTTTTCTCCTACAATTACAAAAATAGTATTTTAAAATATCATCAAATGCTAACTTACTTCGACTCTCACTGAAACAGCTTTAGCAAAGGTGGTGATATTGTCCCAGACATGGTATAATACTATGTATTTCAGCAATACAAAGTTATACCTCCCACATTCTAATAAGTATGATTTTTAAGTACTACAAAGAAATCCTGTTAAAATCGGAGTCCTAATAATATATAATTGCTCCTTTTGTTCCTTCACTACAAGAAACATGGGGATGAAGTGATTCTTAACAACTATACATGTATATATTTCTGCCATAATAAAAGAGCACACTAGGAGCTACTAATATACTTAAAAAGTAGAGTTTACTTTCTTTAAAAAAAGAAAGTAGCTAAGCAGTGAATGAAAACTCTTTCAGAATAACAATGGAATTTCACTGTGTTCTCTGGCACTATGTCTTCAGTAATTGGACTAGCTTAAGATTGCTGGGGAATTTATAATAGATGTTGATTGAGATATATTATTGGTACAGCAAAAAGTGTTCCAGGAGCTTCATGGAAAATGTAAAAACATGGGAATGCAATCCTAGTTCTGTGGAACTTGGAGGCAAAAATCACCAGCATTTAATTCTGTGCTTTTGGACAGAGAGCCTTAACAACGCAAGACCCTGATCGTCACATGATTCACAAATGTCCTATATGACAGGGGCCATTCAGCCTTGAAGATCAGTAAGACTATGAATTATATTAACCATGTTTGTAAGGTTTTACATGATCAGGAATAAAGTATGCAGATGGAGTCTAAAGTAAAGAATATTCTATCACTTATTTAATACCAGGCAGTTTACATCAAAGTGGAATGTGTGCAGCAATATGCCTTTCTTTTGCCTTGGTGCTCCCTTTACACTTGCATAGTTTTATAAATCTAAGCTATTTAATTTTTCAAATTATGTTTGCTTATAGTTGAGGCCTCCAAATCATATATGATTGTAAAACCTGAGAAACTCTTTCAAACCTTCCTACCCAAGGACACATTTTTTTTTTCATATTATGGACTGCTACTAATAAAAATAATATCTGTGGTTTTCAGTCAGTTACTTTACATTTGATTAGCAGTTTGGCTAGCAATTCATCATTTGCAGCAAGCACTCGCACCGCTGCATTCTGCAGCACAGTCAAAGCTACTCTGTAGGAAGAAATGGAGGCTAGGCACCATATTTCTCATATTGAACATACACTAATGAGTGTAACTGATCACCGTCTGACTAACCTGATTAATTTCCATGGCTTCATTCAGCTTCACTCTTGAAATTCCTGTGGTCTGCTGAGCAAATTAAAAAAAATACCAAATTTAAAACATGACCACCACGAGATGTTTCCAAAAGATCAGACTTCTTAATAGGAGCTTTGCTGTTCATAAGCCTATACATTATGTAATTGAGGCAAACTTCTGAGAGCTGAGCATGTGCTGTAAAGAAGCCTCTTCACTGAATATATGAAATTAACAGCCCCTTATTAAAAGATTTTGGACATAAAAGTATTACAGTGACAAGAAAACTACATTAATGCTATTAATAATGCATTTGCTTAGAGTAATTCAGAAAAGCTGTATTTAGGAAGGACATATTAGGTCTGGTACAATAGCACTTCGCCCATTTCAGAAGCAGTTAAATACCAAAGATCTTTTGATTGATAGTAAACTCATTAAAAATGCCATTTTGGGAATATGCCATATTTTGGACTGAAGTAGGCAATGAGTTTCATCTGGAAGGAAGCGGAAGTGACGCATGAAAACAGACAATAATTTTGAAGGGTAGTTTTAAAGCAAAAGTTCTGTACTTTGAGTCTAAAAACAACTTTCCCTATGTCCTGTCAGCAATAATGAAGAAAGCTGTCCTTAAAATAGTTTACGGACAACAAAATAGGGGGGATTTCAGGTACTCTGATGGAACTAGATTTCAAAATGATCTTTAAAAAAGGGAGAAAAGGTCTGGAAAAATAGACTTAAAACAGAAATTTATTTAAAAGGTTCTATGTCTTAGGAGTGGGAGGACCAGAATTTTCCAAGCAGAAAATTACAGTGTAAACTTTTGATCTTATATACTCTGAAAGATGGCACCTAAGCAGTCATCCTCTGCACTATTTAATTGTTTACTCTAAGCAGAAATGGTTTCCTTTTCGTGGGGCATAAAACATTACTGCTTAACCTTGACTTAGTGTGGCTAAAACTGAAGAACACTGGTACAGAAAAGCACTGAAGATGCAGCATGTGTGAAAGGTTTGAAAGTTATCTGCCTGGCAATGTTGTGTTGGTACGTTTCTTATGATTTACAAGACTTACTATATTTCATTTTTGTTTTATAGAGAAATGGTTAACGCATGGTTTGCTGAGAGAGTTCACACTATTCCAGTCTGTAAGGAAGGAACCAAGACCCAGAGCGAATCCTGCTCTTGCCACCAGCCTGCCAGTGCTGAGACCACCAACTCTGGGACTCCAGTGAGGAAAATCTCTGCTTCTGAATTTGACAGACCCTTAAGACCCATTTTTGTCACGGACTCGGTGGGAGCAGTGAGCTTCCTCTCTGGATCTGAAAAGAAGGAACAGATGCCTCTGCAATCTCCACGGATTGAGACCAGTGCAGGGGATCAGTGCTCAAGACTCTTAGAACTTGTGAAAGATATTTCTAGTCATTTGGATGTCACAGCGCTTTGCCACAAAATTTTCCTACATATCCATGAGCTGATAGCAGCTGATCGTTATTCCCTGTTCTTGGTCTGTGAGGACAGCTCTAACGAGAAGTTTCTTGTGAGCAGGCTCTTTGATGTGGCAGAAGGCTCCACCCTGGAAGAAGCTTCAAACAACTGCATTCGCCTGGAGTGGAACAAGGGCATCGTGGGGCACGTGGCAGCTATAGGCCAGCCTCTGAACATCAAGAACGCTTATGAGGTAAGCTGAAAAAATGTATCTTGAATCATTTTGGACACTAGGAAAAAAAAAGTTGATGTAACATTACCACTTTAATTCATGTATTTGGAGCCAAACTGTTTCATACCAGTGAATATGCAAACCAGGCCCCAGATTTCTGTTATGAAGCATGTATTATATATACATCTGCATATACAGACACATATACCTATGACTAATGCTAGGGGAAAGGTAACATCAAGGTAAATGATAAAAATTGACATTAGCAGTTATATTTTCAGCTCAGTCTTGACCAGTTATGTGCACACCATAATTTGCATTTCTAGCTTTGGAGACTTACATGTTTACATTTCTGTTTGTATCAAGAGTCAAGATACTTCTGTACCAAAATTGTGAGTATAAATAATTATCTGCAAAACTGCAGCCTACAACTGAAAATGCTTCCAAGAATTTTGTTGTTCCTAAGGCACTATGATCTGAATGAAGAAAATCAGGATGAATGTTTGAACTGTATAGGAGTCTCACAAATTAAGGGATACTCGGCTTTTTGAATAACGTAAGACAAGGCTAGAAAAACAAAGAAGTAAAGTCCAGCACTGGGAAAGAATCACATGTCTTTTTTCCATAGAGTGATGGAAATATTCCTGAATTACTTAGTTGATAAATTTATTAACTAATAAAGCATACAAAGCTGAAAACTACCACTTCTAATTGATCATCTCTTCATTAATCTGAGCATATTTACACAGATGGGTGATATTATTACAAGGTAATTTTCAAGAGCAGCAAAAAGGAGTATGATTACATATGCTTTAACTTTCAACATTTACTTACTGGCTCAAAAATACTTGTTAAGCACATGGTTCCAGCAAGCTATCACCTGTCCTTATCTTTTAAAAGTTCTTTCTTGAGTTGGGACAATCATTCTGAATTTGAAATCAGCTACTAGAGAAAGAAAACCATTCTGCTGGGTTTTAATGAGATGTAAAAAATCAGTTTTTATCAATATGCAGTTGAAAAACAGAAGCAAAATCTCCACTATAAGCAAAAATATTAACCACGTTGATGAAACTTTGTTTATCTGGGACTATATGTCTTTCAGTGTATTTCTGCAATTTCCTCTTGAAGATAAAAGCTACATTGCTTGTGGTTATTCTTTATATAAGTTTCACGTAGTGATTGTCTAGGCTAAAAATGCTTTTCCTTAGGATATTTCTTTCTTTCTGACAGTTATATTTATCCACAGGCACATTTTTTTTTTTAATTCTTGAAATGCATGTTGATAGTAATGACTTTATATAGTTATTACGTAGTAATGGAAGTGCTGTTATCCTGGGTAACAGTTAAATACTTTTTTTTTTTTTTTTAGTCTTTAAATCAGGAAAGAAAAAGAACACATCTTTAATTCAGCCTTTAAATAATTATATTTTTCTTCTGTATCAGGATCCAAGATTCAATGCAGAGGTCGACCAGATCACCGGCTATAAGACTCAGAGTATTCTTTGTATGCCAATAAAAAATCACAGAGAAGAGGTAAGTCGCAACCTGCATCCCTTTAATATAACAGTGTTTCCAGCCGTGCTAATTCATTAAAATTTTATTAGTTGTCAGTCTTTATTTTAGAATATAAAACCACCCCCTTTTTAAAAGGACTGTATGCTTACAATTGCTTGAATTTTATTTTACGCAGTTGAGTAACATAAGCCAAATGGAGCTTTCAGGAAGAATTCGACCCCAAATGCAGAAGCTGAGTGCACGTGTTTAAGCACTCAAGTGCTGTTCCCAGGTCTTGCACCTGGTCTCTATCTCATCCAAGTTTGCGGCACTTCTGCTGGGCTAGTTCAGCACACACTCCAATTGCAATAAAGAGTTACTTTACTTTGGCATTAGTTTATACCTAGATTTCTAAATTCAGATAATACAAGTCAGTTTTAGCACCACCTAAAAGACTGTTTTTCACATTCTCACATTCTGTTAACCAGCTAATAAATTAAGAAGTATGCTAAGTGTTTAGCATCAGGCATTTAAAACACATATAGTATTAATGTGATTTAGAAAAGTCATATAAGTTTAAGGCAGATCACTCCTAATTAAAAACAATTTGAATCTGCTCTTTGCAATCTAGTGCAGATCTCCTATCTGTGCTACTCCTCACACAAATTCTCCCTGCCTGTCTGATACTCTTGTAATAAGGAGAGTTTTTATTGGACTTGTGCTGTTTGCTTGCATAGAGTAATTCAAAAGTGCATTCAACGAAATCATTGAAAAAATAAAACTGGAATGGAAAGAAATGTTCACTATTTACTTGGAGAGACTTCCAGTATCCCATTTCCCCCTTCTTCCTGTTTTTGATATTGGAAGGAGCACCATTCAACCATATCACCCATTCTAATGCTTGATCTTCCCTCATTTTTCAAAGGATTTAGAGTTTGCTCCCAGAAAAATTCAAAATCCAAAAAGAAATGCATCTATGGGGGAAAAAAAAAAAACAAACTTCATCGGAGCCTTCCCTTTTCTCTTTGTTGAATGGAGAGGTGGGGCGGGAAAAGGACTGTGTCTATGTAATTTGAAGCAGAAATGAATTCCAAAATCCTGCTGGCTGGGAGCGGGGAGGCATTTAAGTACTTACTTCTCCCCATGTTCTGATGGTAGGTGGGGAAGAAAGAACAGCTATAGTCAGTTGGTCAAATGCACCATGACTTGCAGCCTGAATAAACCTGCAATCGGCCGTATCTTCGGCTAGGTTCCTACCCCTGAGAGCATCAGGAAGAGGAAATGAGGCAGGTATTTGTTTATTTTGAAAACTTCAGCCAACCCGAAGCTTGAGAACAGTGTTACACCAACTCTTATGTGCAATAAACCATAGTGGCTGAACTATAAAATTTCTTATAGGAAGGAATGACACTTTTTTTTAAAAAATTTTCTGATCTTAAAGGCTCTAGCAGAAGGTTTGCATCACTCTCACCATAATGCTTTTCTGACATGTTTCTGGACAGATGTTAGTCAGTGAATCAATCCTTAATTTACCATCTGCTTTCGCTGCTTTTTCTGTTTTAAAACAATAATCAGAATGCTGTCTCCTCCCTCATTAAGAAAAACATCCCCCCAAGTCCCTCAAGTAGTTTTGAAGCTAGCGAATGCTGCCTTAGCCAGCATATCAGCAGTCATAGCCAAAAGATCATTCTTCTGTATCTGGAAGATCTCCAAAAACAACCATCGAGAAAGACAAGCAACTGTACTATTTTTTGTTGGTTTTGTATTGGTACAATTCTTTAAAACAAAAGAGTCGGCAATGGAGATGGAGAAAATCTCATGATGATTATTAAATCCTCTGGGCCTGTTGAAACATGGAGATTTTTCCAATAGATGTTTTTCCCATTTGTCTGTATTTCCATGAGGAATGTGAGCAACTAAATTCCCACTTAAAAATAACAATTAATAAGAAATTCCATAGACGATGAAGGGAAAAAAAACAAAACCCAAACCATCTTGCTGCTTCTACAGAAGATCTCATAAAAAGGACCAGGAAGACAAAGAATGAAAACATGTTCATTAATAGTACAAAAGCTTTTCTTGGTCTCCTCTTTTACCTATTCTGACTGAATCCGCAGAAATACCATGTTTTGGATACGGAAAATTCTGATTATATTCTTCAAACTCAGATTATAGACTGTTAGCTTTGTAAAGAGTTCTCATTTTGGCATGAAAAATTACAGATGCAAAGTGGCCGAGATGTGCATCTCCTTTCAGGGCCTTTGAAGAAAGTTCTGCTATCAGTAAGCCACTGATGCACAATGCCTAAAATTCTGTCTGTCATACCTTATGCCAAAAGTACTGCTATATGCTGCTTACTGGCATGTTAGACTATAACATTTCATGTTTATGGCTAATAAAGAAAACAAGGAGGAAGAATGGCCTCGAGTAAACTGAGTTTTAAAAGAAAAACAAAAAGGCTATAAGCCAAATCATTTCAAGCTATTCACATATTTAGAATTACCATACAATAAGTGTGAAGCCATAGGAATAAAATCATTTTGCTCCTAAAAGTTTTTTCTCTTCTGTCTGTTCTGCAACAGCAGATAACCGTAATTAGACATTATTATTACTGCCACTCTGATTATCAGTCTGTAACAGAAACAGATGAAAAAGGAATGATATATTTTTTTCCTCAGTAGTATTTAAAACACCAATGAAAAGTTAGTATTAGCCAGCCTTTACCACACAGTAACCATGGTTATTTCTTTTACAAGAGTCTATAAGTAGTGTCTATAAGTACCTCAAGGGAGGCAGTGAGGAGGATGGTGCTGGCCTCTTTTCAGTGGTGGCCACCAACAGAACTAGAGGAAATGGCCGGAAGCTGAAGCACCAAAACAAAGTTCCACATGAACTTAAGGAAAAAGTTCTTAACAGTGAGGGTGACAGAGCCCTGGAACAGGCTGCCCAAAGAGGCTGTGGAGATCTTCTGAGATCCAGAAGAGAGAGCTTCTCTGGAGATCTTCCAAACCCGCTTGGACGCAGTCCTGTGCCACGTGCTCTAGGTGACCCTGCGTGTGCAGGGGGGTTGGACTAGATGATCCCTAGAGGTCCCTTCCAACCTTAAGCATTCTGTGATTCTATGAAGAGGAAACTGTTTTTCTAGCCATGGGCTTTAGCTGTGGCTATGAATGTTAACCATTTTAGTGCTACAGTTTCTTTTTGCAGAAATCAGGATTTTTAACACCAGCTGCAGAAGTCCTAAGTTTGTGGCAGTTTAGAATTTTAATCTCTACTGTGTATCTCAAAAAGAAGCTTTTCATTCCTTAATGTGTGTGCTTTAAACCTTTAATTTTCAGAAGCTCCAAATGCTACTGATTTGCCTACTGGAGTTCCTATAATAAAGTGAGTAAATGCAGTGGCATTTTCTTCTGATTTTTGTTTGGTCTTGGATTCAGAGACCCCCCCAAAAAGGACTACAAAAGCTGTTGAAAATAATTGTCACCCTTGAGGAGCTATCTGGTTTTGCAGACCTTTATAAACATTCATTATGAAAAAATTCTAACAGACCCAAATAGTGAATGGATGTCCTTAGTCCATTAAACCAACTTGATGAGTTATCCTGACTCGATACAAATCTCAGTAGAGATTAGTTTTCTAAGCACTAGTTTTGTAAAGGAGTTAGAGTGTCTGTGGGAAAGACAGTCCCTGATTTACACAGTCAGCATATTTGGCCTAGAATGTCTATAGAAATGACATAATTCTCTGTTATGACTATATTTTTTCTTTTGACTGTGTAAAATAATTTTCATTAAATCCTATTTTTGTTTAATTTCTATTAAATACACAGTAAGAATTTAATAGAAATAAGATTGAACGTGCTTCTCATTGGCTAGGTAAATGTTTTATTCTATTCTCACTCCAGTAATTTGGTTTGTTTGTTTTTGATTTTAAGTGGCATATCTCATGTCACCGGGAAACTCTTCCCAACAGGTCAGGAGTGCCTTTTTAAGTATCTTGCCAAACTTTATTTTATAAAAGTTAATCGGGCATGTTGATGTCAGCGACCTGGGTAAGTTCTTTTCCCCCACAGTGAAAACTTTAACACATCACAGTGACTACAGTATAGGGCAGATTCAGCCAAGCTAACTTTAAACAAACTCAGTCAAGTTCCAGTAGCAGTCTTGCTGCAGGATTATGGAGATCAACACGGACTGAGTAATTTGCTGCTTAGGTGGATTTTCAGTTTATGCTGACACATGTGTTGTAGTAACTAAACTGCTAGGAATTGTATTGAACAGTTTCAGCATGAATACTAGAAGAGGTTGTGAAAGTTTGCTTGATTAAAACCAAAAGTCTGTAAATACAGATCTGTACCTATAGGATCATTTTCTAAACCTGAACAAGAGCTTTCCACAAAACCAGAAGAGCAGAAGAAGTCTCAAAACACTTAGGCTATCCTATCATTTGGATATTTTTGCTCCTTTGAAACATGATGAAAGTTAAGTTTTCCTCTTTCTGTGATTACTCTTTGGCTTAATGTCTCATTTTTCTTTGTGTGCTAGTTTTATTGACTCATAAAACCTCAGGAAGCAAAATTGTATTTTGTTTTGCTAAAGGGGAAATAAAAAGGATGCTAGCTGCCTGTAGAACCAGAATAGCTTTTACATATTTACGTTTGTAATCTTAATGTACAGAAAATGCAGTAGGAAACAATCCACATAAAAGTCAGAGCACTGCCATCAGCCATAATCTAAAGAGAAACAGTGTAGGTCACCTGCTACCTTTAGAGGTAGGAGACAGCTATTAAAAGAAAATGATTATTAAAAAATAAACGTCTCTTTGTAATGTGGATCACACTCTATTAAACTGGGTAACTGATATAGCTGAAGAAAGGTTCCAGAATAACCAGCAACACTGGCGGCTTGAGTACAAGTAGGAGCTGTGTTTTGATGTGGTAGAACATGTAAAGATGGTGGTCCAGTAATTCTTTCTGGCGAACTGATAATAAGAGAATGAACCATTTCCATTATCCAAACTCCTTTTTGTATTTGTGGTAGGCCTGTTTTGTGTGAACTGAATGGTAACTGCCAAAGTCTTTGGTTTCTGAACCAAGGGGAACTTTTCTGCTGATTTTAAAGGAAGCTGGACCAAAGTCTGTGGTCCTTCAACTACACTTTGTCCCTTTCCATGTATCATTTATGCACTTCTAATATATCAAATCTGGATCTTGTTAGGAGCAGAACAGAACTGAGATAGTGTATAACATTGTGCTCCATTCTCTCCTACCTATGGAGTACAACTGGGAGTAAGGTTCTTGAAAAAGTCACATTAAGCACAGCAGGTCACTGGCTACCTTAGGGAAGTGGCCATACACTTACAGGGATTTTAGTATTAGAAGATATTATTCATATAATTATATATAATTATTTCAGTCCTTACACTCCCTTAGTCTTGGTTGCCTTCAGTCCTGAATCCTTCCTTACCTGTTTCTAGCTGTCACTCCTTTATGGCTGTTTTTAACCCCTCTTGCCTACTTGTTTTGCCTCAGGTTTCTCTGCTACCAGTAAATATGGAGGGTAATTCCAGAGGCATATTAAGAGAGTAACAAGAAATCAAAAAACAAGCATTTTTGCCTTAGGACTATAGGATTCAGCTTTCAACAAGATCCACACATTGCCTGCTTGTTAAAGAATTAAAGAAAGGCAAAATATTGTGCTGATGACAGTTCTTAAATAATAATAATAATAATAAAATTTTATTAGACAGCAACAGTGTTCTCATTAGTAAGTGTTTGGGTGGACTGTCACTTTTTACAGCTTTCTCCAAGGCTTGCAGAGAATCTGCTTTATCTCAGATATGGAGATGCATTATCTTTGTCACCACGAAGATTTCACACTTTTAATGCACCTGGTCTCCAAGAAAGTTTCCTATACTGCTGAGCTCAAAGCAGTGACAGCCACCCTTGATTCAAATTTTCTACTGAGCAAACAAAACTCCCCAGCTGCAGTTCGGGCCTACTGTGATTTCAAATTTGTTTATGTTAAGTTCTAAAAATTGAGGATTTAGATTCATATCGTGCTTAGAATTCTCTAAAATGCAGGCCTATGTTCTGACCTAAAACGCTACCCTGTGATTTACGTCTGTCCTAGTTGCATAATTACTTTAGTAAGAGGAACAGATCCTCTTGAGTTTTCTACTTCTTCCCCTAATTACCTGGTTGCAGGCAAGACTCCAATGGCTAAATAATACCGTCTGAGGTTTTCTCATTACTGCCTCTGCACCAGATTGTACAGAAATTAGAGAAGTTCACTGGAACTTGTATTGAAATAAATGAGGTCAGAATTTGGACCAGTATAGTTTCCAAAATTGTTAATTTTCTCTGAAGAAATAACACATACCAATAATATGTCTTTAAAAACTTAGCATGTCACTGAACCAAGGAAAAAAAGGGTTGTCATCTGCATAAAAGTTTTACCATCATCAAGAAAACAATGGATTTTCAACAGTTTAATTCTCCCCCTTCCGTTAAAGCCTTTTATTGGATTCAAAATGGCCGTTTCCCCAGGTGCCTTTGCTAATGTCAGAGAAAGCTACCGTGCTAGTGAAGGGATGTGAAAGAGTCTCTTTGTTGTATTAATATGGTCTTTTTACTGTCCCTCCTAGTGTTTTTAAGCTTTCCTTCATGGAGGGGACATGCTTCCACAAGAGCTAAATGCTCACCTTTTGGAGGCCTTAAAGAGGCTCTGACCTCATTCAAATAATCTTACCTCACAATATTCAAAGCTTAGAAAAAGCAGCCCAAAAATCAGAAGACAGACAATGATAGAAGAAAATGCCTAACCATTTGTCTCTGAATATATAGGTTAACATGAAAGCATATAAACTGCCTAAGGAATTTGCTTACTATTTAAGTTGTATGTTGTTATGACATAGAGAAAGTTCACAGGGTAGGAAATACTTCTAACTTAAGTTAATGGGAGTCAAGGAAACTGTACCTCTTCCAGTTCTCTTAAGCCTAAAGTCAAATTAGTAACAATTTGCAAAGTTGTCTCAGGAGTACTGAATTCTACTAGGCAAAGGCCAGGGAATAGATGGAGGATTCAGGAGATAATCTAATGATCTAGGAGATGTTTATGCAACAGAGAGGAACACTTTTCATAGTAACAAATAGATTAAATAGAAGACAAAAGTAATTGGTACTATAACAATAAAAATAAATACGCTTTTTAATGGAATGATAAAATATTTGAGTTTGAAAGCCTCTCATTTTCACCTTATTTATACTGAAAGTCAAGAGTATCTCAACTGAAATTAGCCTGTTTGTCCTATCTCCTTCTTGCTCCCTTCTAATTTTAGTGTGCTATGAAATTGCAAGGTTAAGTTTATGACTTAGAAGAAGACAAAAATGTAAGCACAAGGATAAGCGCAGTAAGTATAAACTGAAGTCCAGGGTCCAAAAGAAGTTTAACCTAGTTTACAGGATGGAATGGTCATAGCTGGCACATGGAGAGCCTGCATGACTGCAGTGGAGATCTAGAGACTTACTATCCCAGGGATTTTTTTTTTAAGACATGTTTTCTATCTTTACAGTAGCTCCTCTGAACATCTAAATTCTCTTGTTTTCCTTGGATTCTGAAACAGATCCAAGTTTCACTTCTCTTCCCCCCTCCCCTAAATCTGTGTTGTGTGTATAAAATGCAAGCCTTAAAACTGGTCACAAGAGGATGGAGAATGAGTAAGTGCAAAGCAACCATCTAATCTCCTTCCTACACAGACTTCAGAATTATGATCTGCATTAGAAACTGGAATCAGTACTAGGTAAAAAATTGAATTCCACTTTTATATTTTAAAGGGTTTTTTACTGTTTGCAAGGCAGATGGTTTCCTGGGAGATCTCCTCAGAATGCAGGGAGTGCACAAAGAATGGCAGTAACAACAGCATCATGCTTCAGCAGCTGTGTCTTCTTGCATTCATCTTTTATTTCTTTTAAATCTAAACCAACATCCCATATCAAGAAATCACACTTAGACAGAGGATAGTTAGCCACTAAAAAGTTACAGAAACACCAGAAATTTGGACTTTAATTGAAGGTCCTTCCACGATTCTTTTCTGCTTTATAAGAAATCTTATTTTTATCTCAAAATTCACAGAATTATGTCTAGAAACTTAACATCAAGTTTTATTTGGGATTATACTAAAAAGCACCAGCTAGGAATTTAACATAATTAATTTAATCAGAATTTTATAAGAATAAGACTTAGTGTAATATGGCTTCTGTTAATGTTTGATTCCATTTTCTTCTGCTATAATGCAAAAGGAGACCATCCAACAGAGAAAGTCATTCTAATAGTAAATGGAGCTATTGATTTCTTTATGATTATTTCAAAAATAATAGATTTTTTTCCTAATTCAGGAAACACTCCTTAGCACACTGTCTGTGCACTAATTAAGTTAAGTGGCAGTCTTATTTTATGAAGCCTGTTGGCTGGTCATCTTAGTACATATTCCACTTGACAGGATTTCAGCAGTGTGGCAGGTGCAGAAAGAACTATGTAATGAAAAGGCCACAAATGTTGATCAGGACATATAACTTTGCTTCTTAGACCCGCCACAGATTTCTTGCTGGATGTGTGAACCATTATTTTACTCTTTGTTTAACCTTTTTACCTTTGTATTTCTTTCCAATCTCATGAATCCCTTCTTGAAGGTAAAATACTTAAAAATAGTCAGCATACCATGGCAAGAGGACAGTCTAAGTACTCATCTGAAGAATAATAAAATATCTCTTCTCAGTGTTGCTTTACTGTGGTTTTAGTAAAAGCTTAACCTTTACAAAATCCTTAGTTTGAGTATTGAGTCTCTCAGAACAAAATCTGTGTACAAAATTTCCATTCTGCAGAAAAGTCATGCGACTGGTTTCCCACAATGCAGAAACACTGATAGAGCCCAACTCTGGACCCTCTGCCGAGCTCCAGGTGGAGGCCACGTTATGGAAACGTTGTCAGACTTGGCATGAAGGGCGTTTTGTCCACTCCAGAGCAGGGGAACATTAACGAGAGCTGTTGAATTGTCTGGCTTAGGAATACAGAAGCATAAACCACTGCTGTCCTTCTGGCAGAGGATTATTCTAGAATGTAGAATAGGTTTTAGATTAAAACAACCTTCCCAAGAACATCCCACTTTTCTTTTTTGTTTTTTGTTGTTGTTGTTGTTGTTTTTTGATATTTCAGATTAATGCTCAGCAATTTGAAATATGAATACATTTGAAAAGAAAAATAGGTTTAAATATTTTCTCTTTTCCAAAAGTCAAACAAAAATATACACGTAAGGATTATTTAGTATCTTCTCTAAATATGCCTATAAACAGAATTCAGAGACAGATCCTAAATACCATCTAATTACTCTGTTTTGAATACAATAGGTTGTTGGTGTGGCTCAGGCTATCAATAAGAAATCTGGAATTGATGGGACTTTCACTGAACAAGATGAAAAGGTATGAAAGATGAATGTCTCTGTCCCATTCTTGTATGGGAAGGAGGGAGACTTTATTTTTATTTTTCATGCTAATTAAAAAGTAAGAAATCACTACAGTTTAAATACCTCCAAAAACATAAAAATTACTGGTAACATTGTAAATTTCTTGCTTTATGAGGTCATGAGAAATATAGATATCGAGTGGTTTAATTTCTGGATCAGCATAGTATCTATCCTACATCATTAAAACACAGACTTACTCGAAATGTACATCCTGGAAAACAGTTTTCTAGCTTTTAATAGATCATTTGTTATAACGTTATGAAGTGATTTTAAGTCTACTGGCAACTCCAACAATACATATTTTGAATATTAAACTTTAAAAAAAATATTTGGGTAAATTATAAACAAAACATATAGGAAACCACCAGAAGTGCAGAAAGCACCTTAATTCCAAAGTCTTATACTGCATTTGCTTTTCAAACACTGACAAACTTCGCATTTAGATTGGCATAGCAAGAGTGGTTGGACTGAGGCGGAAGGAACTGCCTTAATCCTCAGAAACAACAACTCAATACTCTCCCTTTTAAAACTTTCCCCTTTAAAGCAAAGTACATAATGAATATCTGCAGGATATCAGAAATATTCTCATTTCAAACAGGAAAGAACTTTTGGCTTTACTATGTTAGCAGAATTTTATTTCTGCTTTCTAAGAGATTGAATTTCCAGGAGATTGTCTAAATTCAGCTCTTCTGGGTAATATCTGTGTTGTTACATAATGAGTTCATTCCTCTCTGTTGTTTCTTATTCCACTCATACTTTTACTAGGATAAACTACAAAGACTGTAAGTTTAAAAAGGGAGAGGAGAATCTTGAGGGAATGCCAGCATTGAATGTCACCAAAAAAATTTTAAAATCAATCAATACTTCAAGGAGAAAACAAGAAGATATTTTAGTAGCTTGTCTTTGAATAGTGTTAAGATGCTGTGAGACAGTATCTTCATTAGATGTTATTTGTCTTCAGGATTTTGCTGCTTATCTGGCATTTTGTGGCATTGTTCTTCACAACGCTCAGTTGTATGAGACATCTTTGCTTGAAAACAGACGTAACCAGGTATGGTAAACAGTCACAATATTTTCAGGAATGATACAAAACTAAATCTTCTACTAATTAATGTAATTGTATTTTGCTTCTTTCTGTATTACTGATAGGTTAATTATGGGTAGAATATGGCCTTTATGGGTAGAATATATCTGCCAAGTTCAGTATGAAAAGGTTTTGAAGAAGTAACTAAGTAGCAGTTGTTTTAAAATTTTCTGTTAGGTTTGAGTTACCAAGTGACTATCAGTGTTAGTAAACTGGTAGAAATTTGGATAATGTTTCAAATTGATTCCATTGTGGGGGAAAGAGGGAATATAATTTGACTGCAGCTGAGAGGTTTGCCATACTGCGTTGTAACAGTATTTTCACCAAAGTTCATTAGGATCTACTAGAATTGCAACAGCTAATAATTCTCTTCAAAGGTTTAAGTAATTTAGGTATCATTTTTGCTATTTTCAATATACACACACGAGCCACTGGAAACCATTAGATTTGCAAAGGACAAAATACTGTGTGCTGCTTGAACTTCACAAGTTTTCTCTGATGAATTCCTTAGCTCACTGGCCTATTAGTGCCTAAGTGTCTTTGTCTCTTTCACTGGAAACCTCAGACAGCTAACTATGCTTCTTCCATCAAAGCTGTCATACTGGGTATTAATGATTGTTAAGCCAAAACTTAATTTTTGTCACACAAGTACAAGCTGGCTTCCTTGATTCATGGGAATAATCAAAGAAATTAGTGATTATTATTATTGCTAACATAATTAGTCAAATTGTCACAAAGGGCTTTTTTTTCCAGGTGCTTCTTGATCTTGCTAGCCTGATTTTTGAAGAGCAGCAATCTTTGGAAGTAATTTTGAAGAAAATAGCTGCCACTATAATATCCTTCATGCAAGTGCAAGGGTGTACCATTTTTATAGTGGATGAAGATTGTACTGTGAGTAGTATGAGACAGAAGTGCTTATCCCTGGGACCAGGGGCTTCCCCCCTCTGCCTGGGTAGCATTTCCTCCCCAAAGTATGTTCTGTAGCCTTTGCATGTTCTGCCTTTGCTTCCATAGAATCACTCAGGTTAGGTGTCGATTTGGGAGGCTTAGGTCTTTGCGTAGGCCATATTCTGGTATTTTATGCAGTCAAGTTGCATTGCCTGTTGGCAAATTAAGGCTTGAAGTTCCCCACATGGCTCTTCCCCATTCTTCCACTCGGTGTGGTGGCTCTCTTATGGCATAGATCTTGAATGTACAACTGTTCCATAACTCTTTTTTTTGGCTATTGAGAAAGGAAGGAAAAACAGAAAAGGCTGAAGAAAAACAATGTGGCCTTTACTTGCTGTGCAGAATGACTCTTGACAGTGTCGACAGTTTTTTTTTTCTTTTTCTTTTTTTTTGTATTTATCTACACAGGGAGTATCTAAACAGGATCGTGGAGAGTCTCAGGATCCTGGCTCACTGGAGCAAAGCACAGTTCCTTTCCAATCTGCCCACCTGTATTTCTTTTCTTTGGAAAATAGTCTGCCTAACAACAAGCAGGATATTGTGTGCCTCGGCCTTGACCTGGCATTCCTAGTTTTACTTTGACTCTTCTTTATGGGTATGGGTATACTAAGACCTGGAGGTGAGGTAGTATTTGCAGGTCCTGTGGCACAGACATGGCTCTTGTCTTCGCTTTTTTTTTATCTGCCATCATCACTTTTCTCAGTGTAGGAGAGTCACTCCTGCACGCAAGTGCACAGGCAATTCTTTTCAGAGGGAATGATCAGTGAAGAGACTTCAGTGATATTTAAAGATGTATTTAAAGATATTTTTGTGGTAGGACCCCAATTTATTGACTCTAGATGTGAAATGCAGTTAAATAATTTTATACTTGCCTTTATTACAGATTAGTGTAGATAATCACAACATTTTTTTTGTTTTGTCTTCATGACTGCTATTATGACTTGTTCCAATCTACCTCTGTACCCCCTTCCCCACCCCCAAAAAATCCTTCTTATATTTCAGGATTCATTTTCTAGTGTGTTTCACATGGAATCTGAGGAATTAGAAGATTCAGCTGAAAATCTGAAGAGGTAAAACAATATATTTAAACTTTGGTATATCACAGGAGAGTGTTGAAGAAATTAGGTTTTAAGGTCCTTTCCAAGAAAAAAAATACCCTTTTTTATATTACTTCTATTTTCTGCGGAGCAGGATTTGCCCTGAAATATACATATACAACTTCTGTTGCCCCAAAAAGGTCATACTGAATGCAGAATATGGTGTATTCTCTTCTCTTTGCCACATGTCAGTACCTATGAAAATCATAGTTTTGTAGTTCTGTTTTTTATAGTGTAATTCTAACTTATGTAAATATCTTTTTCTTCTTGTTCTCTAAAAAATCTGTATAGACTGCTGTCTACTGTAGATACATCTACTCTAGTAGATAGTATGGTCTTAGTACTTCTATTTAAGACTTTTATCAAAATTCTGTAAATGAAGGGTATATACTTGTAATAAAGCATAAACACTATTCTCATATTATATATAGGGAAACTGAGTCAGAGAACATGACTGATTGACTAAAGTCCTTAAGTTGTTTTCAAGAAGCCATCAAGAAATTCAGTTGGGACGAAGGGAGTTAGGAACGATTGAATTCAAAAACACAAATTAAATAGTTTCCATACATAGTCCAAACCTCTGTATTCTGTTTTTGAAAATTACTGTCTGTTAGCTTTCTGTCATAAAAAGCTGTTCAAATAATGTCAAAAGACTGAGACATAGTTGCATATAAAATGCACTACTATGTGTATAGTGTTTAGAAAGGAAGTGAAGATTTCTCTATCCACTAGACCTTTTTTGCAATGAACTTAAAACTATGCATGTTTGAAAGTAAATTCCCAAGAGTGTGGCATAAGCAAGTAAAAACTATTAAGCTTATGATTTTATTAAGATTTTATTAACCATCTTAGACAATATGTGATCAGAAACTAGAGAAGTACAAAAGGCTAGCAAGCTCACAGGGATAAAAGGGAAATTTCCTGTTTACTTCTTCCTTTATACTATGAGAATGACAAAGTGATAGAATGTATCTTTTCTATTCATTATTCCTTTTATGCTTACTAGTTAATGTGCTCCAAATCTAATTTACTGCTTGCATGGGCCACTATTAAATTGCTATTATATCTGATAGGGAGGGAATGCTGGAGACTTAATTGCATATCTAAATCTTGTTCAGCAGAGAGCACTCAGTTACGTGAGGCCTTATGCTAAGGCCTGTACTATGACTCAGCTACCAGACTTAAACTTTTACTATGCTCTAAGGTCACGGGTTTGGGAAGACACAAGTACAGACACAGATGGGAAATATTGCTTATGAGAGAATTTTTTTTGCTGATTGTATAATCAAGGACCCTGAGTAAAGCCCAAATCAGATGGGTTTCCAGAATAGCAGGGTGTCATCATATATTGCCAAGGTAAATAATGAGAGAACAGTTCCTTTTCCCCAGTACGGCAATATCCCCTGGAAATGCACTTAAAGGAGAAGGATAACTAAAGTAAAATGCAGTATCAGAGGGAAACTGCAGAGACTTGATGGGAATGAGCACATATTAAGACATGTCCTTCTCCAAAACAGGAGGGGTGGGTCAATAGAATTGAATGCATTAAATTAAATAAATCATGGCTATAAAAATAGGAGAGAAATGATTGATTTTGTAATGATACGTTTTTAGATGTCCTGATTTGGAAAATAAGAAATTGTTTCAATAATATGATCCTCAAACAACTGATCGCAAATTTTCTTTCAAAAGACATTTGAAATGAACTTAGAATCAGAAAATTCATGGTGTTACCAGCCGCATTCAGTGAATTTTACCTGATGGTGAATTTTTCCAGATTTGTGAAAGAATATTATTTTTAAAAGGTTCTGATAATTTCACTAGCAACTCTTTTGTCCATTCATTATCCTTCATCTACATAAGCCAGTTTCTTTATTTCTTAAATTGGTGTTTCTGGCTTCTTTAACATTTTAGAAAAGTAAAAAAATGGTGTAGTGTATAAATGACATGGTAGATTTGTGATGGAATGCTGATGGCAGCTGGATTAGGAGACAGGATTTGAAATCAGCTCCATCATATAGGTACTGTTATATCTTCCTTGACTTTATACAGGAAAAAAATCCATTGCTATATGACAGATATAATAGGAATATTCTCTCTTACAGGGACTATGATACAAACAAAATCAATTATATGTATGCTGAATATGTCAAGAATACAATGGAGCCACTCAACATCCCAGATGTTTGTAAAGATGGAAGATTTCCCTGGACTGTAAGTAAAATACATTTAGGTTTGAAATTCAGTAATGGAAAACATTTTTCTAATTTTCTTTTCAATCTTTTTTTGGTTTCCTCTTGTTATTCCTGTTTTGTTAACTGAAGGCAGAGTTTTTTTTATCGAGTTCATTATCAATGTGCAAATGATACAATACTCAGTGAGCAAGGTAATCAGTGTTTTTTCTACAACGTTAGTTAAAAAAGCGTAACATTTGTTTGTCAATAAATACACACTGCAAGGTTGAGAGGTAGCTCAGTATGTTGTAAGGAAAGCATCAGCAAAGAACAGCTGGAGGTTTTCAAAGTAACCCTCTGTAGTTTATTGTGGTTGTTGGGAGGGTCTAGAAGTTCCTTTCCTTTCGTTCCCTCCTTTCTCTCTTGTTCTGGCAAAGATTAATGTTATGGATACAAATTCTTTGCTGTTTTGAAAAAGGAACAACTTCACATTTCTTTGGCAGCTTATGCTTCATGCTTCAAGTGGTTTCAGCTTGTGGTATGGTGTGTTGAGTGAGCGCACAGGCATGAGAGAATTAGGAGGAAAGATCACTTGGCAAGATTCAGGCTAAAGTCATGATGCCTTTTAAAGTCATTGTCAACAAAAAGCAAACTTCTAACTATTTTTCCCTCAATGCAGAAGCTAGAAAAATACCTGTTCATTATATCTAAGCCTTTTATCTGGAGGGGCTCAGGTAGAAGGTAATAAGAGGAAGGAGGTGGTATTACAGGAGCAGTTCAGTTTTTGCCAAACTCTTTATTCTGAGTTGCACAATGTGAAGGTCAGTAAATACAGTGTGATTGTTTCAGTAAGTGGAAAGGAGGGGCAGGTTCACACCTTTGTTTCCCCTTTTGCCTGTGCAAAGTTTCACTGCTGGTCACTGCTGTTCTAGAGTGGGATTCTATGAAGGACTGTGTGACACAGGAATTGAGAGCTCAGCAAGACCCAAAGTCTTAACTGAGAGAGTGCGAGAGCTCAGCACTTCACAGTGTAAGACCCAAAGTCTTAACTGAGAGAGTGGAATCTAAAAGCAGAATCAGGTGGATGTTCTGTATTATATCAATAAAAAACAGACTGCTATTTGAAGACATTTTAAAACAAAACAAAACCCTTGAGAGTCATTCCAAACAAGAGCCTTCCGCTTTGTCAATGCAGTCACTGTGACTGCACCTCCACCACTGAATAGGAGCAGTCTCAAGACTTCTTAAAGCTGAGGTACCCTGACACGAGGGAAGTCCAAGATGTACCTGGTGCCCTAACACCCTGGCTTGCCACTTTCTTTAGAGCACTCAGTGACATCCTTACTCAATTTACGAACAAACACTGGTGCTTTTTAGCTGCTTGGGTGGCCTCAACCACCTATGTGGTTATATTAGACAGAGCACAGAGCTCATTTTTACATGACAGAGGCCTGTTGTTGCCTCCCTCAAGTTCAGACTACTTAGCTTGTGCCTTCCCTGCTGTCCTTCCAAGCCTTAGCACCCTGATGTACAAGTTCCTCCATGAATCAACAAAGTTAATGCAGAGTAGACAAAGCTTGAATATCTATACCAGTTCTTTTAGCCATTTACCCCTGCTCTTGTTCATTTATACAGCCTCCTTCCTGTTCATTTAGGAATGAATGTCAGGCATTTTTAAGCACTATGCACTATGGTCATGTATCCAGTCAAGTCAAATTTGAATTATGATGCATCTGAACTTCACTATGAAACAGCAGGTTCTCCTCACAGTAGCCATAAAACAGCTCGACTTCAGTGTTTCTCAGCTGGCCTTGCTAGAGAGGTCAAGGGAGAGATACAGGAGCTCCTCTTTTACAGCTAATTTCACAAGTATGTCATCTTCCCAGACCACAGTTCACGAAACAGGAAATTCTACTTGTCAGGTATTCCATCTCTTCTCTTGATAATCAGCTTGATAATCAGATAATTAATAAATTCCTGGAGTTATGTGAAGTATCTAGCTCAATCTAGCTTTCAGATTTTCTCCAAAGAATCCTACCTTCCTTTTCCCATTATAAGCATTTGTGCATTTGCCTGCAGAGACCACTCCACTTGCACAACACCACAGATAAAAGCAGCAATATTAAAACAAAAAATCTCTGGATCTGAAATATTAGTGCATACCTTTTTGCCTCACATGCAGTCAGAGATAGGACCATATTTCTCTCAGCAAATGCCATGTTACTCCAGGACTAAGCGCAACAGAAAAGAATTAACGACTTCTCACATTGGATATTTGGAAAAAAATATATTGTCTTTTTGTTTCACCGTTCCCTTCCCTGCCCCAAATAAATCAATTTCCTTCACTGGGAACACGAGATAAACTCACAGCAAAGACAAGACTGCAGAAATGTTGACCTTTTTAGAAAATTAGTCATGCTTTGGATCATGCTTTCACCCACTAAGGCATATTTCATAGCCATGTTAGATTAAAGATCTCTTTAATTAAGGAATCTTGAACAAATCAAAAGGGCTGCTGAAAATTTTAGTATCATTAAATGCATAATAATAATAATGCCAGGTGTAGCCATGGTTCTTTTATGACATCTTCTTCGGTCACTGGTATATTGCAAGTGTGCACAAGTGTCATTTTAATGGAAGAGGTATCTTCTGATGAAAAAACCTGCTACCAAAGTAGCTCATGGCCACAAATCACTGTAAACTCCTACTGAATGATTACCAACATCTGTATTATTATTCACCAATGCTTGTATCAAATGCAATGTTTATTATAATGAGTAGCCAAAGATGTGCAAAACTCTTTGAAAAAAAGAGTATGTAGACATGTAGACCAAGAACAGTTACAGATCTCAGCTCTGCAGTTTTTTTCACTTTGGACACTTGAACTAAATTTGTCTGTAATATTGTAACTGTATTTTTTTTATTTGCTTAACAGAATGACAATGCAGAAAATGTAAACCAACACATAACGAGTTTGCTGTGTACACCAATCAAAAACGGAAAAAAGAATAAGGTGATAGGTGGGTAACTTTACAAAAACAATTGTACATTTCACGGAAGAAGCATGCTACATGCTCCACAGTTAAACCCTGGCAGCATGGAATCAAAAAGCATGTGAAAAAATCCCTATTTATCATGACTAAGACTATTGCAAACTTGACTATAAATTGCTTAAGTACCAAATTACCATCTACAGCCCTCTGTGATATTTCTCTGGTTTTATAGTTTCTTCACATTTGATAAAATTTTGTAAGTAAAATTATTTTCATAGATTCCTGTTCAGAGGGACAGATCTCATTCTTGTTTGTGCAAGCCTTTCAAACGGCAGTGAAAGGCAGAAAATGTGTACCAGTAAATAAGCTCTCCAGGCCGGTAGTGCTGCGCTCTGCAGAAGAGCGGCGGCAGCCTGGGGAAGGCAAGCTCAGCAGCACGGGCACTGCTGTTCTCCTGCAAGGAGACTTGGCTGCGAAAACTACACACTTTAGAAGACTAAGTGATGTTCACTTTAGGTGCTGTGAATTGCCTTTCAGAGGTACCTGCTTCTATCTGTGTCTACAATCCTATTTTAAAACACTAGATTAGGTGCTTAAAGTTATTCTAAATACCTGCCGCAGTGTCTCCTGTGTTCCTTCTGTTTTTTCTTCTATGTTAAAGAGTGGCCATATCACCCCTGGATTCCTGAGGTAAAAATATCAGAAATATTTTGACATCACTTAGGTCCACAAAGGCCTAGAGCCGTATGGAGACTTAGAAGATTAATTGTCTTTAATTCCCTAAAAATACTTAAGTGGCTGTGGTCCTCAAAGATAAGTATACACCTAAATAGTTTTGAGGACTAGGTCCTAACAACACTTCAGGGAATAAGCTTAATGAGTTGTAAGACTTTTTCTGGATTTGAGATACACTTTAGACAATGGAGGATCATGGTTTTGAAAATTACCAGGACTTCTCTGTCCTAAGGGGAGTAGAATAAATGCAAGTTTGTTTTCCTGGCATCAGTAAGTTCCACAAGCATACAGAATGTACTGATTTCTAGATAGCAGTTTGAGTTCAGCATCTTCATCTTTACAAAATTTGGCAAGAGTTTCAAAGATGCATCTTTTTGTCTTCAAGTAATTATCATTGTAAATTACGACAATTCAGCCTAATCAATGTCTGCAATAAATATGAGGCCCTTTTTCTAAGAAGACATATTTTTTGAAGACCCAAAGCAGACATACATTGCTACCTAATTAGTTCTGCGAAGTTTCCTTTGATGCCAGCTTCTTCTATGAAGAGGCTTTTATTTTTTTTCCTTCAAATATTCTACCAGACCTGGAAGACCAAAATGAAGATTGAACTCTTGGGGCTTTAACTATAGCTATTTCATTATGTTATTAGCTACTGATAAAACAGTTTCATCTGATCTCATATGCTGTGGATGCATTCATGCTCATATGCATTCAAACTGAATGTTTCAGTTTGGCCTATTGATTTTTGGGGGCTTTTCAAATCTGAATAATTGTCAATATGAAATATTCTTCAAAATCTCTTAAGGTTCCATAGCCTAGCTAATGTTCATATCTTTAATAGAGCAAGAAGCTGCCTTGGGAACAATCCCTAGAAGTTGCTTTAGTGTACTGTATGCTATTCAAGAAAATTATAGGTCTCCTTTTTTAAGATTAGTATTTTTGAGACCAGAGTCTGGGGAGTGGAAGTGGAGCAAATGGTGGGGGGAGAAGCTGTCCACAACACAACCAAGCAAATTTGACTAGCAAGAGAAATTAAAAAAAAACCTTTTTTATTCTCCTGACTTGTGCATTTTTCAGGTGAAAACTTTATAGAATCTTTCTGTGGTTTTGTAAGTATATGTCAGTACAAGATTAACTCTGGGGTATGGACCCCTTGATGGTTTGGGGAAGCTTTTGAAATTGTTTCAATTAAAGAGTATTTTTCTTATACATTACATAGTATATTTACTGTACTGAAGATACATGTAATGAAGATACATGTAGCTGCGTGTGCAGTTAAGAGGAATTTACAGATACCCCAAATCCGTGTCTTTTAAGAGTTCATTTGCTCTTGTGTCTTATTCTGTTGAGTCTTAAAAATCTTGTGTTTGTTATATCACCATTGCTATGGAAATGATTGTAATTTCCTAAGTAGGACTAAACAGATATTGAAGAGTGAGTTCAGAGAAGACAGTCAGCTTCTTTTTGCCAGGAAAAAGTTAATCTCATTCTTAGTGATTTCTTTTTTCCTGAAATTTTGTATTTTTACTATGATTGAATTATGTAGTAGTCTCAGTCTGCTGAATTTCAGAATTCTGTTCGCAATATTCAGACATGACAATTCCCACCCCACCAGTTTACAGGTCATCTCTTTAGAGCAGAATCCCATGCAAAAAGTAAGTTCCAGGACAGTGTTCTTCCAGGATAGCATAAGCATCAGGATAGTGTTCTTATATTTTCACATTAAAGCTTGTACAGAGAAGGCCAATATTCTTCTAAAAACACTGTTCTCATGTGTACAGCATTTTATTTCTAATACTTCTACATTCTGTTAAAAGGGAAGACCACACACGATCCCTCACTGACTTTCTTTCCTTTAATGAAATACCTGAAGGGTTATTTTAATCAAAAAATGAAGAATGCTAAAATAGTAGATATATTCCCATGTAAAAAATCATGAGCCCTCAAAAACCTTATGGTAGCTGCTGATTATGTTCACTGATGTAAAATAGTATTCGTTACAATTCCTTCCTTATCCATAAGCAGAGAGCACATCTGGCTTTGCAGACCTTATAGTGGCAAACTTTAAGTACCTGAGGCAAGCATGCAGGTCCTGCTCTCCTATATCAGTGTAAATCTTGCTGAAGCAAGGAAACATAAAAATTAGTAACAATATTCTGGAAACATCCTACTAAAGAGTTATCTTCCCTTTCATTTTTACTGGTTTAATATATATTTAATAGATTACTGTTTCTACTGCAAGATGTTCTTCATAAAATGTAGTATGCAAATTCATGAGTAGTAGCAATTCATAGCAAATTAAACTATGGTTTTCACTGAGATAATTATTTGCAGCTTTTATTCTCCCCTTCAAAAATAGAAAATGGTAAAAAGCAGTTGTATTTAAGATAACAATAATCCTCACAACACTGCTGCCCAAGGGCATTCTATACCTGCAATGAAGCTGCTTTAATTCACGTTGTGATTTCTTAGCAGAAACTGCAATCCATTAGGGAAAGCTAAGGCGAGGTATATATGTGAATTTTCCTTTTCTTAAAATGGAACCAGGTATTCTAGTTGAAGCAAGGATTGGTAGAAGTTTTATGTCAGACACCTCAATGGCATGTGCGCAAAAAATTCTGATACTGAATGGAATCATTAGGAAATATTAACAAAAGACTAATGAAAAAAAATAAACAATTGCAAACACCAACAAGTTTGCTAACAAGCTGAATGCAGTTGGAGGCTTTCCCTTGACTATATGCTTTGCACCAGGCTGTAATGTAGTCGGATCTTCATAGAATCATCAAGTATAATTGAACTTTGAACCTCAACTTCAGTATTTTCTGTTTAGTTCATTAAAAAAATCCCGTACTGACTCAAAGAAGGAAGTGAAAACTCTGTGTACCACTGTTCTGACTTTCATAAATGTTCTTCTGGCATGGTTACAAAAATTTAATTAGCCTCCAAAGGACAAATTGTCTTTAGGGATTAAATCAATCTAGAATACAATTAATAATAAAAGTCGGGATGAAAACTACCCTAGAATTTTGCAAGATAATCAAGCCTGTAAAGCCTGACATTTCTGCTTTATAAATCCTGATAAATATTTTTGAGTTTGCTAAACAGTATATAGTATTTTAAGTATTTGTTCTGTAATACAGTGAAATCATTCTAAAAGAATTTGGGGTGTATTCTGTAGTATTCTCATTTGTCACTTCCACGTGTACTATTGATTTGTACTGTAGGCTAAACAGAACCTTATTTTTTCTGTTGATGTTCCTACAATAAGGTGATGGTTTGGCAATTCTCTATATTACAACTTTCAATTTTGGTATCCTGGTTAGGGGTTTGCCAGCTTGTGAATAAGATGGAAGAAAACTCAGGCAAAATCAAGGCTTTCAACAGAAATGATGAACAGTTCCTGGAAGCATTTGTCATCTTCTGTGGCTTGGGAATCCAGAATACACAGATGTACGAAGCTGTAGAAAGAGCCATGGCCAAGCAGATGGTAACATTAGAGGTAAGCTCAAAATCTTGGTGGTCTTTAATTGGTGCAGTACAGGTTCTAATTTTCACCATACCCTGCCTGTTCTACATATAACTGCTGCCACTCACTTAAATGCTCAGCAGAAATTGTTCTCTCACATGAGAACAGCATTTGGTCCCTGGAGTTGCACAGAAACACTGTTGTTCTGATTGTTTCCATATTTGCCTGCACACTATTTTATTGGTATTATATTTTAACTTTATTATATTTAGTGTTGAACCTAAATTCAATTTTTCCTCTATATAAGGCAACATGTTGGCAACATAGCTTGTTTGTTCTGTTGCATAGGAAAAGGAAATGGTTTGGGGGATTAGGGTCTTCCTTTGTTTTTTTTTTCAGAGGTTTTCTGTGATGTTTGTGGCTCAGTCCTGTTTGTGGAGTAATGGCAGGGTTATTGTCTGAGAAAACTGCAATTTCTCAGACTTCATCAAACCATATAAAGAGGAATGTCACCTGGTCCCTGTCATTGAGCTGGATACTGTTCTGTTTAATGGCTGAACAAGATTTTAGCCTAAGAAGCTGAATTACTCTGTGCTGATAACTTGAGGCTGAAGTCAAAACTTTGTAGACTTTGGATCATCCAACGTTCATTATATAAACACAGAGTTTACAGAATTCCTAAAATGTGCCTTGTAGCCTCTAAAAGAAACATTAAAACTCCCAAATAAGTATGTATTTAGTGATAAGAAAAGGTGGTAATATTATTGTCAAAATAGTTTCAGTGCTTTAAAAGAGATGAGCTGTTTGTTTAAGACTAATTAGTATTTTTCCTACTTTAACATCTCTCAGATACTATGGTCAGTCCATACATGCAAATTCCAATATGAGAAAAATCCTATAAATTAACATTTAAAACATCTTCTTCATAAAATAGTTATTCTTTCAGTTGCATGTATGCTAAAAGGAACTTCATTTCAATGTTCTGTTCATTTTTACAGCTAGAAAATGTAAGTTGATTTCGTGCTTTCTGTGCCACGTGCTCTAGGTGACCCTGCGTGTGCAGGGGGGTTGGACTAGATGACCTCTAGAGGTCCCTTCCAAACTTAAGCATTCTGTGATTCTACGATTCTATTTGGTTAATTTAAAAAGAACCATGTTTTCTTTCAGACTTTTGTGCCAAGTTTCAGCTAGGACAAAACTCTTTTATGTCTGAGTAAACCCCTGAAAGGATTATTATGGCAACAATGTCAGGCCCATAATTATAGCTGTTCCTTGAATTATTTGTCTTTGAAAGTGGGGCATGAAAACTTTCCAAAGAGAAAATCAGAGTTCTTTGTTCATTTATAGAAACTATTTACATTTTGTTGGCCTAGTTAAATCAAGAAGACTTTGTGAGATTTGTAAAAGCTGCAGATATCTCCCCAGATGCCTTTCGAGATTTCCCTTAGAACCAGCAGAGGCCTTGCATGGACCCTTGGTTTCAGCAAGTGCAGTGCATTGCAGGACTGCAGCTGCAGGCTGTAACTTCTGCTTTAGGGGGGAAAAAAAAAAGAAAAGAAAAGAAAGAGCTTTTTATAGAATTGCACTTTGTTTGTACTACGGGCTCTTTTTCTCTTCCTGCAGGTTCTCTCATACCACGCTTCTGCTGCTGAGGAGGAAACGAGGGAGCTGCAGGTAACAGCGGTAATTGAATTTTTTACTATTCCTTTAGAAATGCTTTATCAAGAGGTGAAACAATGAAAGGCAGCCCCTTACCCATATGTGTCCCTGCATGTCAGGCATCATATTTTCAGAAATAAAAGAACGAAGCCTAAGTTGGAACTTACCGGAAAAACCGAAATACAAATACACTACTATCATTCTCAAGAATTGAAGTGACAATATGACAGTACTCACTGATGCAGTATTCATGTCAACTCCAAATCAGTCAGTATTATTAAGTCCAAATTTTGTACTTTTGTATTTTTTATATTTCAGACTTCCACAATATGGGTGCAGCTTTATGGCTTTTCACAGAAGTTCTCTAATTGTTAATTCTATGATTATTTTCATTTCTGTGATTACTTTTCTATGCAGTGCCCTGTTCTACTCATATCTATTTGTATGTTTAGAAACCACTGCCTTAGGAGTAACTAAAGCTGTGATTTCAAGTGTTGTTCAATGTATAGCCAGAGCTCACTCCCTCCTGCTCTCTCGCTGAAGTGGAGGTGTTGAGCAGACGGCATCATGGCTATGGTAAGGACAACAGGAGGGATGGAGAGGAAGAGACGCAGGGGATCACAAGACGGGTAGTGCGCAGTGGGACAGGACTAGACAAGGCAAGGTGCCACAAAACAAGGCCCTAGACTGCTGCTCATACACGAGAGAGGCAGTAGTGCCTAGATGTGGCACAGTTAGCAGCACATGCATGTTAAGCCTCAGTCCGGATGTGCTGTTGCTCACTCATACAGAGGTACTGATGCTACAATGCACTCCTCATTGCTAATGGTTTCTCTTTATCACTTGCCTTAATCTCTGTGGCTGCACCTTTACAGCCGTACAAAACAAAACTGTGGCACCACTGATCACCCCTGCTGCTTCACTGACCACGAGCTTCTTAGCACAATCTTGGCCCATATCAACCAACGCTTTCTAAGCCATTATAAAAGCTTACAGCACAGGCCATCGTCAGTGGGCCTCATGGATGAGACTAGAATTCCGAATTTCAAAACAAATTCACAAAAACGGGATCTTACTCAGAAACACTGTCCAAACCTTTTAAGGATAATTTGATCACAGAATCCTAGCCCTGAGAAAGCTCTGCCTATGGACAGATTCAGGGTACAATAATGCTGGATATGGATGCTGCTAGATACTCTGTGTTTTCAGTGGTGGCCACTGATAGAACTAGAGAAAATGGCCACAAACTGAAGCACCAAAAGTTTCACAGGAATTTAAGGAAAAACTTCTTAAAAGTGAGGGTGACCCTGCGTGTGCAGGGGGTTGGACTAGATGATCTCTAGAGGTCCCTCCCAACCTTAAGCATTCTATGATTCTCTGGTTCTATGATTCTAGCTACAGACATGTCTTTCCTCACTATTTTTAGAAAAAAAAATGCCAGCAATTACTGATTTTGAATTCTGCCCATCCGAAAAACCAAACATTTAATTTCACTGTTTTATTTCCCAGATCTTTATTTTCACATATATTCTTGGTTACAGTTTGTGTTAGGTGATTTAGGTAACAGACTGGTTTGCTTGAGTTAAAAAAAAAAAAAAAAAAAAAAGAAGCATATGTCAATTCTAAGAAGCAAATAAGAAAGATTAAAGAAAGATAAAACAAAAGAAAAAATGACTAGATTGCACTACTCTTTCTCCAGTTATATTATGCTTTCTCTTTTCCATTGCTAAATGTTGTTCCCTTGTTCTTCTCTAGGCTGCTGTAGTACCATCTGCACAATCTCTCAACTTAACTGATTTCAACTTCAGTGATTTTGAACTATCGGATTTTGAAACAACCCTGTGCACAATTCGAATGTTCACAGACCTCAACCTGGTGCAAAATTTCCAAATGAAGCATGAGGTACGACTGCTGTCAAATGCTATTTCACATAATGAGACAACTTATCAGGAAAATAATGAAATAAGCCTACAGGGGATTACTTATGCAGCTGTAGAAATTCCATTATATATTTGTGGAAATAGGCAGGTAAACTAGTAAGGGGAAAAGAGATATTTAATTTCTAGATCAATTTATATATACTTTTAGATTAGCAAAGCATAAGGGCAGACAGAAGTATTATATTATCTAGGATTATCTCTTCAATACCACAGTGCGAAAGTTTCATTTTGCAGTAATGCCAGGAACTTGTACTTCTTTAAGGGATATGTTTCAATAAAGGAGAGTTACGGTGATAGGCAGCCCAGAAATGGGTGAACTTCTGCTTCCTAATGGAGTAATCCTTATAGATTTGCATCAACAAGGTAACACTGTGACAACAGACACAATTATATGTCTCAATGAAAACAACAGAGCATTAACAGTTTTGAAGCTACACTTTCCTCTTTCCTCAATAGACCTAAAAAACACCAGAAGTAGCAAGATACTCTTAATTCATTGTAGAAAGATACAGAATACTGCTGCTCTTGTCTTCTGTTTGGATGGATGGATACTAGACATCCTTTTCTGTCCATATGACATGACTCCTTCACTACAAACCCTAAAAATAATCTTAAACCAAATTAGATGCTCAAAACAGACATAACACAAAACAGTATGATATATCCATTTAAGCTAAGAGATCTGTTCCAGCATACATCAAAATACACTCTGGCCTTTATAGTTTGCACTTTCATAAAACTGAAATACAATCCACAATTTGTAAATCTGTTCTGCAAAGCAGTCAGGACATATTTTCCTTCTACATATGTACTTATGTACATAAAATCTACACAATAATCATTAAAAAAGATACTATCCTGCAATATAGTAATCAGTACCTTTATATCATACTTACTTGTTTCCAAAGTCCAATTCTGTTTGTCTTTTGACAAACTGATATGAGTGGAAAAAAAACACACGATCATTTTCAAAACAGTTCCTAAGTAATCTCTATAACTCAAGAATTAATTGTCTCTACGAAATAGTGGTTACAAGCAAACCTTTTTTTCCTCCCACTTAGCTCAGCGTAACTCATTTTCTGGATCAACAGCAATGCAACTGACTAACATTTAGCCCTCTGTGATAAAAAAAAAAAAAACGCAGCCACCCATCTTACATACTGAAGAGACTAAATTAGTTACTGTAACCATGTGTTTCTTATTTTATAAAAAGAAAAAAATCAGACTTTGCAGCTAACTACATATTACTGTTTCTTAAAGGTTCTCTGCAGATGGATTTTAAGTGTAAAGAAAAATTATCGGAAAAATGTTGCCTATCATAATTGGAGGCATGCCTTTAATACAGCCCAATGCATGTTTGCTGCTTTAAAATCTGGTAAAATTCAGGTACGTTTTGCTGTTTCTATGTTAAGAACCTTCTGACTAAGCAAATGCTGTAATGATGCATAGTTTTGATTGTGATGTCAGTAAAACATGTATCATTCTGCAGTCTCCCTAGTAAAATCAAAATATTTCTGCTGAAGAATTCTGGCCTTAAGTGCCTGATTTATTAAATTGTTCTCACATGAACAATTGGGTTCAGTACTTGGGTTCAGTTAAATCCTTTGGGAATGATCAGGTGGATACTCCCAATGGGAATCTCTCAAATGAGGCACTTGATTATGTCCTTCTATAAAGTTAATGATTATGCCACAAGTCAGTGAAGAAGTTGTAGAAGAATAGGACTGGCCATATTGCAAGACGTTTCCTTCTAATTTTCATTAGACTCAGAAACATCTGAGTACAAAAAATAGAGCATTTTCTGGAAATAAGGACATCATCATTTCAATGCTTTTGAACAGTGCTTCAACCTTTCACTTAAATTATTATTCCCAAACAATTTAATGATTCTTTTTTACAAATACTGAAGGGTTAGCTAAGAAAAGATTGTTCAAGATTTCTGCCAAACATTTTTTCTTAATGAAAACAAAATGCTTCTGCTTATTTGGAATTAACATTTTTCTTCAATTTGATCAATTGGAGAGTTGATATAAGTTGTTTTATCCTATTTTACAATAGTCCCTTTTAAGAGGATAAATAAATCCTATTTGTAGAGCAAAGACCAATACCAATAAGGAAGAGGCATTCCCCTCTTCACTAAGAAAAGAAAAAAAAAAGAACATGGAAATAACAAAGATATTCACGTTTAGGATCCTCCTACACTGAAAAGAAATGGGCATGGCAGTTTTGCTCTGTGTAGTCTAGCAATCTCAGATGATTCTGATAATTTGGTTGCTTGCTATTTTTGGAATCCTGACAGTCCCCACTGTGATTTCTATGAAATGTTTCATTTCTAACTACATTGGATTCACTCCACTGATTTTCATGGCTTAAATTCTGGAGTCAGAACCCACATTGAAATCTCTCATTTTTTTTCTGCTCCAGGAGGTAAAGCAAGCACTGCGAATCAAATTCCCTACGTAAGATCAGCCATTTCCAAAATGATTTGTCTTTTGACTACATGAAGGACAGGATTCATTATCTGGAAGGCAGATATAACTCCAGAGAAGTTGTAACCTCTTAAAGAAAATTTGAATTTGATTGTATAGTACTCAGGGTACAATCCCCCCGCCAGTGGCTGTGCTATCACCAACTGTTCTTCAAATTTCTGTCCTGACTGTTGTGTCTGCTATTCTTCTCCCATTAAAAAAATACTGCATGAATACTGCAGCTTTGCCCAGCCTCTGCTTCTTACTGGCCTGATTTAAATGAAGTATCTATAAAACAGTATTAATCAATTTAAGGATATGATATATTAATGAGAGAGAAAACTATAAGCTCTCTTTCTGTTATTGGAAGACTAATCTTTTGGGGGGCTCTGTTAGTAAACTGTTAATAGTAAGTCAAAAAAATTTTTTTTAAAGATTTTTTTATCAGATTTTTAAGAGCTAGAATTAAAAATAAATAAATAAATAAAAAAGAGATGCTGTCTCTTTCCTGTCAGGTTTTTGCAAGTAATATCCTCTTCTTCAAGATCAATTTCCTCACCTGTAATATTGGGCTAGGGGATATTACTTCCCTCTGTAAATTACTTTGAGGTCCATGGACAGGTATTATAACTATTTGCCACACCTTAAGAGATAACTCTTTATTCTTGCCATAAAATTTTATGTCCTTGTCCTCTTTGGGCTAGAGTTTTTATCAGTTATATAGTAAAGACAACAAATATAATATACAACGTGCAAAATAAAACCCTAATGCAACACTAATTCACTTGTACTACCTCTACAGAGCAAACTGACTGACTTAGAAACACTTGCTTTGCTGATAGCAACTCTAAGCCACGATTTGGATCACAGAGGAGTAAACAACTCCTACATACAAAGGTAAGTCAGTCAGAGAGGAGGAGTTAAGCAACTGAATACCAAAATCAGAGAGCTAAATGAAGTTCAGCCTCATCGATTTGACAGTGTTTGGCAGTGTGGGGCTGTATAGAGAAGCAGGCATTTGCAAAGCAGTAGGGACAAGAAGAGTCAGAAATATTTAAGCAATACAAAGCAGAGATGTGTAACCTCACTGAGCTGACTAACTGCTGATGGTGGATGCAGACTCTGTAGACTGTGCAGGGGCAATATCTCCTGGCGCCTGTTCAAGATGTCCCTTTCCCCATTTCCCGTACAGAGTAGTGAAAGGTCACAGCTCCTAAGGGAGTTCACGTAGGAGAAACATGCAGCTTTTAACCAGTTTTTCACTAAGTGACTGTTTGCTCGCCGGGCTGAGCCAGCACAGAGTTTGGGATTTGCAGCCATCTCAGTGATACAAAGGGTCTGGTATCACTTGTAGCTCTGATTGTTTCACTCATAATTTAGCCAAGCTTTCCATGAATTTGGAACTGCTTTGGATAAGGTGCATATTTAAAATCACATTCGAAAGGCATAACTATTTTGCATTGATTTGGAATAACATGTATTCTTCCCTTTTAAAATTTAAGCAAAGCAAGAGCAAAACAAAAAGACAAAACATGAGTTTAAAACTTGAAATAAAACTTTTTTTTTTACTAAACAAAATCCTTTATTTTCATGTTACCAAAATGAAGCATTTCAATTACTATAAAATTTTCCCCCTATTTTAATTTTTAGCTAAAAATTGTGGGTTTGTGTTTTTGTACAATTTATTATTAGTTTCAGTTCTTCCCAAAGAAGAACTTCGCTTCAGAGAATTCCACATATAAAAGTATGTGATTCTTTGATTAAATAAACAGCTTGACTTAAACATGGCTATAATGTAACTACTGTAATATTGTAGTGTCCTGATCTTACCAGAGATGGGCAAAAGACATCCAGAAATGTATGCCTATATCTCTTCATGGCAGAGCTGGAGAGTGGTTTTGAAGGTACCTCTGGAAGAAATGATCTGCTCTTCTTGCTGTGTGTAAAGTTAAGATATTAAGAGAGGAAAAGATTGTTTGAGGCAGAAAATACTAGTAGTATTCACTGAGCTGAAGCAGGATAAATTCCTGCCTTTCAGATATATTGCTAATAGTTACACTAACTCTTATGTGTAAAGCAAAAAAAAAAATAAAGAAAAAAAAAGAAAATGACCTTTTTCTAGTTCCTTAATAGGGGAATCCAGTAACTTGCAGCCTTGCAACAATCTGAACCAGTTAGCTATTTTCTGCTTTATTTATTTAAAAATAAATTTCCTGGAAAACATCTGGAGATGCGTCATCTCCTCTCAAAAATGTCCTGGGAAAGTGTCATAGACAGCAAAATCTAACATTCACACACACTGTAAAGCAGAGATGATTACAACTTAGTAATTCTTTTTCAGTGCAAACAGTTCCTGAATCTTGTTTTTTAAAATCCCTCATTTATATCTAACTGAAAAGTTATTTTTCCAGGAATGGATTGCTTCTGTTTCTCACTTAGAAGCAGGAAGAGTGGATACTTGGCATATGATTCTTTTCTAAAGCAACAGGGCTTCAAAAATTAAAACTGTTCTGGTAGCAGAAATTACAGGAAGTTGTCTGTTTTAAGGTCTTTTGGTAGATATGCAGGGTTTTTGTTTTGTTTTCCTTCCAAACCATCGTGTAAAGACAGCAAGCCTAGCCTATGAAAACTGTGTAACTAAGCCACTATGTTTAGAAAGCAATGATGCCCCTTTGGCCTGGCCCCTGGCCCGCTCCGTACAGCACCAGGAACTGGTGCTTCCAGTACTGGTGGCTTCCAGATACCCAAACAGAGTCTCTGAGTCCTGAGCAAGCCCTCATTTGGTGCCATTCTTGGGAAGATAACCTCAGATTTTTCTCACGTACTTCTCCCTTCAGTCAGGATGGATTTTAGGAATAGGATACATCCCAGTTAACTCAATGGGAATTTCACCCAGGATGTGCTGGCACCACTAAAACCCTACAGAAACACAGAGTTATTTGTATTATACTGCTTTCGCAGTGGTCTCAGAGGAGGTGCTGGGCAGCCAGCCCATAATCCTCAGGGGCTTGCATCCTTTAATCTTCCTTTCTGTATTTCTGTTTGTCTTTCCATCTTTCTCTCATTTCTGTGCTGTTTAAATCCCTGGAGTCTCCTCTTCTGTCTTTTATGAGTTTTATGTATGCAGTCACTCACACAGTGACCCAATCCTGAAATCATTTATTCATGTGAATGATCCATAACCATATAAAAAGTCCTGTGGAACTCTATGTTAGAAAAGGATTTCTCACATGATTAGACATTTAACATTTTATAACAAGGTTATAATTATACTACTAGATTCAGGATCATCAATGAAGCAGACTTCCAAGATCCCAATTTAGTTAGAGATGAGATAAACATTCTTGGAAGAGCAGATGCAAATGAAGACAAAAGCAGCAAAAGCTAAGAACCTTATTATGCAATGAGGAAGGAGAAGAAAGCATAGAAATCCTCAGAGAGGAAGAACTGTATTCTGTCTAAAGCTACCCAAAGCAGTAAATTCTGTGTTAAAAACTCAAGTTTAAAATCTGTATTCCTCCAGTTGACTTTTCTTTTTTCACTACTGTTTTTCACTGCCTGTAATGCAGCTGATATCCTGTTTCCCTTTGGATTTTTCACTGGGCAGAGGGAAGGTAATGATATTGAAGTAGTTTCGTTATGAAGACAGTGGTAACAAATGCACTATTGCTAAGATTAGTAGCACAATAGGAAATAATTTGATAACTCTTCCACCCCTGCAGCAAATCCCACTGAGGTCAATAGAAGGTTTTCCATTGATACCACTGGGCTTTGCATTAGGTTTGCACTATTACTTGCACAGTTGATAGTTGAGCTGACTAATATGCTAGACACATGTCTAAAATGCCAGACACAAAAAAAATGCCACTTAACAGTTTCTGCTTTGTGAAGGAACTTTTCTTGTTACCTTTCTTTTTCAAACAAGAATTTCTACACTTTAAAATGACTGTATGATTTTTCTCACTCTGTGTTCATGCGATCTCTACAGGTAACAGAAGGTAAGAAGTTAGAATTGTCAGTGGCCTGATGAGGTAACAGCCTTGTCTTTGTAGCCACAACGATTCCCTAACAGCTCAGCTTTGTAGCCGTACTCCCCCTGCCTCCTTTCAAATGCATTCGTTCTGTTTGGCCAATTACACTGGGGTAGGGGGAAAGAAACAGGTTAAAAAAAAAAAGCATTTGAAGAGGTGAGTTGATACCACGGACGTTAGTTGGCCAATTAATTCTGGCTGATTTAATTTGATTTTTCAATATGTGTGCTTTTTTTTCTGCTCCTCAGAAGTGAACATCCACTGGCTCAACTGTATTGCCACTCAATCATGGAGCATCACCATTTTGATCAATGCCTTATGATCCTGAATAGTCCAGTGAGTGCCTCATTTCTGTGCATACTGAAGGAAGCTGTTCCCTGTTTCACTTTTATTTTTAGCTTTTGGATAGATTCCCACCCTTATACATTCCTAAATGAACTTTATTCCTTTTTGGGTAAAGAAAGCAAATGCAGCACTTTTGAAATTACAGTTCCATTTCTGAGTGCCACCAAACATTTCCAAGTGTTGCCTGATAAGGGAAGCTTTGCTAATATACTTTTGAGTACCTGCTTCCTTGGACCAAATGAAACAAAAGGTTTTGTTGCCATTTTCATGGCCTCTTATGAGCCACCATATAAACTCATGTCCCTGCTTTCATTTCAAAAAAACATTGCTGCCTACACATACACAAGGCAGTCCTGATGAGACCAAACTAAACACGGCTATTGTTGACATTCCAAACGCCCAAGTGAAGCCAAACCTAAGTTAACTAAATACGCAAGTAAAACCACATTCTTCTTCTCCTATATTATTAATTAAGATCAGTTATTCAGCATGGACAGTCATTTCAAAGCAGTATATTTTCAGTCTTCATTTCCTATCACAGCTTTGGTAGTTTTGGCACCTTTCATGTAAGTGAGTCTCTTATTCAGACAGGAAAATATGGGAAAAAAAGCAGAGGCAAACTGCCACCCCATCAGCTCTGTAATACTTCAGTTTCACAATGGGCTGCTGATCTTACGTTTTTATGTAATAGTTTGTTATTTATGTTGCTTCATAAAAGAAAAGTATTTTAATTTGCGTGAGTTTTATAAGCAGGTATATATGAGCTTCCTTTACTTCAGGAGAGGAAAGAAAGAAAAGAAATGCTAGAATATGGCTAGGAGCAAATTGATTTCTGGTGGATGAAATTTATAGGCTTTGACATTGCTCTGACTGCAGTTTCATTTTGTAATAGAGTTGGTTATGACACTGCTGCTGCAGGACTGGCTGCCATTACTCAAGAACACTGTTATTTTTATTTTTAAATTGAGGAATCTGAAAAAGGTGTAGCAGGATAAAAGTGTAAGAAGAGACACTACTAAACCAATAAGAATGATTCAGCATTTAAGAGAGATTTTAACATATTGGTGAGTTGTTGCACATTTTATTGTTAACATTGGTTTTGTTTTCTGTAAAGGGAAATCAGATTCTCAGCAGCCTTTCCATTGAAGAATACAAGGCCACACTGAAAATGATAAAACAAGCCATTCTTGCAACAGATCTAGCACTATATATAAAGTAAGTCAGAAGCAAGTTTGGCTGGATAGTCTTTGTTGCATGTTTGGATTGTGTCAACATGCTGCAATTTTTTTTCCTGTTTTTACTTATTTTAAAGGAGGAGAGGAGAGTTTTTTGAGCTTCTGAGGAAGAAGCAATTTAACTGGGAAGATCCTGTGCAGAAGGAGCTATTTTTGTAAGTAAATACAGATGATTAAAAAGCCGCATAATAGCCGCCAGATTTTCCATGCCCCACTGCTGTGAATTTCAGTAAAAACATCAGATCTGTGTACTCCGGGCCTGTGCAAACTGGTACAGGTGACATTTATCACTGAATGACTTCCTGGGTCTAGCTCTGTAGCCTGCATAATAAACTTGGATAAGGAGCATGTGGAGTCTACCACATTATCAAACCTAGGGCATCTTCATAACTTGCTTTCATTTCACTTTTTTCCTGACCTTGATTTTTCTGGAAACTGGATATTCTATTTAGTAATCATTTGACTTGATGGCTACATAAGTTTCACTGTACAATGATTCATAGATTTCTTTTTCTTTTGTTTTTTTTTCCTACAGAGCAATGCTGATGACTGCTTGTGATTTATCAGCCATCACCAAACCCTGGCCAGTTCAACAACGGGTATATGCTTAATTTTAAGTTTTGCTAAACATAAGCTCTACGTAATACATAATAGCCTCTGCTTCTTCTATCTAGTCTCCTGTATTGTAAAAGCATTGGTGGAATGCAGAGCTTTAGGAAGCCATCCTCCAAAGAGCTAAATGGGAGGGTTAAAGATTTTCTCCAGTATTTACAGCAAGATATGTGCATTTAGCTATGTCATGTTGTTAGAAGTATCTGAAGGTGTATCTGAAGGCACATTTAAATATTTTTTTGTAGTTTTGAACATTCCTGTGTTATCACAAGGCAGTCAACTAATGCAACACGCTACTTCAAAACAGCTGACTTTTGTGTTTATCATGCCAGCTGTTACAAGCTATCAAATATTCCAACCATTTTATTCAATTGGCTTGCACTGTCAGAGTAGGTATCAGCACATGCAGGTGATATTTTTTTCTGCACAGCATGTGAAGAATAATTCTAAACCAACTTTTAAGCTGAAGAGTCTAATGATAGCAGCTCCAACTTTGATATATTCTAAACTGAAATGATTTTTCAAACAGCAGGTGCCTAATGTTTTTTTAAGTGCAAGATATCAGATTTTACAGGTAGAATATCCAGAAAGTAATAATTTAAAATCATTAGTGATTTTTGAAAGTAATTGCTTTTAGTTGTAGATTTAAAATACAGTCCTTAGCATTTATATTTTTTAATTTGTACATCAGTACCTCGTAGGATTATTTTGAGATTTAACTAATACGTAAAGTAGCTTTGGTAGTAGAGTTTACACAAGTCCGGAGTGTTATACACAGACATGAGACAATACATGAAATATTTATATTTCATGTATGTATTCTTATGATTCATTGTATTCATCATATAGGCTAGAAGCTCTACACAAGAAAACTCTTTCAATCATAGGTAGCAATTAAACTTACATAGCTCTCAATGTGTGACATTTCTTACAGATTGCTGAGCTCGTAGCTACAGAGTTTTTTGACCAAGGAGATAAAGAGCGGAAGGAACTCAACATAGAACCAACAGTAAGTGACAGAGTTGCACAGAATCACCTCTTTCAAACAGGACTTTGCACAGTTTTCAAAAAACAGCTTTTCTGCTAGTAACCATGGAACCGACTCCTTCCCTGCCTTCCTAGTAGTCACTTTTTCTTCTGTGGTTCACAAACCAACACTGTCTCATTCTCTCTGAGCCAGAAGAACAGACAGCATTATTTCCTCCAGGGCGATACTGTTAAATTGTCTGGGAAATATATTTCTAGGCTGGTGCCTATTTGTGACCTATCCCAAGAAGGTGAGTTTGTCTGTTCTTCCGGGAAAATGGGCTGCGCCGGTCCAAAGCTCGGAAGGCGAGTCATGCAGTCAGACTACTAGCATACCGCACATAGATAGCCTGCTATGCTGAGCTTACTGTGCGTTTTAAGCTGCTACTATGTAATTCCAGCTTTCTCTTCAATTTCCTTTTTATATAATGTATTAAATATAAAACTTATTTACTTTTTTCTTCAGGATCTAATGAACAGAGAGAAGAAGAATAAAATTCCCAGCATGCAGGTTGGATTCATAGATGCTGTTTGTTTACAGCTGTATGAGGTAGGGTACATAAAAAAAAAAAAAAGATTGCAAAGATCTAAAACTGGAACTGCTCACTGTGGCCTGTAATAGCTGCAAATTTAAAATTAGAATCAAGTTTGTTGTAGTTCCTTAGCTAAAAAAGACGAATTACTTTGGTATATTTTACATATGTTTCATTGCTGTGATTATTATTTACCATCAAAGACTTTTGTTACATACTTTTTTTTTAAAAACAGTAAATACTGGGTTCTAGGAACTGGGTGTTAGATCTCTGCATTATATTTGTGGTTCTGCCAGTGAGCTGCTATGAGCTTTAGGAAAAGGCACAAATATCCACTTCGCTAATAATGAAAATAACAGTATCCATCTACTGGACTGATAAAAGACTGTTCTTAAAATACTTTTAAAGCATTCTGAATTTGTCAAGCAAAAAGTGACATGCTATATATGTAGGAAATTCACTGAGGTTAACGTTCCCCATGCCTTTTTTTCTCCCTCTCTCGTCACACACACAAAAAATGCCTGAGAGAACTGGAAATGTTCATCATAGTCACAAACCACTCTAAGCAGGTATTTGGTCAGATACAGTGTGAAATTTTAAGAACACTTATTTGGTTGCCACATATAACCTGTTTTACATGTTCTTAATTTATTTCAGGCCCTAACACACATATCAGAGGCCTGCTACCCCTTACTGGATGGCTGTAGAAAAAATAGGCAGAAATGGCAGTCGTTAGCTGAACAACAAGAAAAGAATCTCATTAATGGAGAAAGCAATCAAGCTAAACGGAACTGAGGTGCTGATTTGACAACCACGAGCTTAACTACACACAGAAGACAGTAATTGGGTAGTACTGCATTTTGCTAAACACTGTATGGATTTGGCTTATGTTTTGCCACTGCTGTATTATTTTTCCACATTTTAAAACATAGCATGACCGTGTATATGACAAGGTATGTAAAGACTGTATATTTCTTCTATTTCATTTGAGTTAAAATGGAAAAAAAAATGCAGTTAGTTTATGCTACCCTGTTCTACAAGATGGTACGAGTGCAGTTACTTGACTGTCCTTGAGAGCCTATTACTTTAGAGATGTATATAGTTGTTTAGTGATCATGTTTGGCCAGTATGTTAAAGACTACTGCATTTGGCACCTTTTTTCCTCTTTCAGTCATGTTGTGTTAGGATATATAAGTAAGTGAGGAGCAGTGTTGCCTGTTCTTTTCCCAGAGGTTTTAGAGGAAGGTTTAGGACTAACTCTGGGGAGCCTAATCCAGCATATACTATGCTAACCTTTCCGGAGACAGAATGGGTCTTTGAAATGGAAAAGCCCCAGAATTTGTTTACCCAGGGGCTCTTTCACATTAGAAGAATATCACAACAAAATGTCTTACATTTGGAGAAGTATTAAGAAAAACCCTGCCACTATGAGCCTGAGCATTGAAGTGTCACAGTTATCCACAGATGAGGATGTCTGCTTAACGAGTGCTAAAAAGTCAGAACTCCACATTAGTGACAGGCTGACTTGGAAGAAGGCTTCAAGAAGCAAAACAGAGAAATGGAAACTAAACAAGGTTGGTTTTGTATGCTGGCTTCATCTTCATCTTGAAGATAAATTTAACATCACCATAAACACCGAAAGCAAGGCAGGAAAGGTAGAAGACCATGTGACTATAAGAGCAAGAACTGACAGTCTGATTCAGAATGACCTGGGCATGGCAGACTTGTGGCAACTGTTAGTGCCAGTGCTGTTGTGAAATGATTATGACCACTTTGAAGAACTGCTTGATGTTTCAGAAAATTTTATGATAACATTTTTTTTAGAAATCATTTTGAGTATTAGTTACTTTCAACAATTATTAATCAACAAGTCAAAAAAAAAAAGGAAGACTGACAACAAAAATATCTGTATAGGAAACATCAACAAATATTGAAATAGAGAAAAAGAAACAACTAACTTGCAGTAGGAAAAGTAGGAACTGACATTTTATTTAAATGAAGATGACTAATAAATTGTTTTGAATTGGTCATTGGGAAGCAATTAAAGAAAATATATGCACAAGACAAATCCACAACATACTGCCTAAGAGAGGTCTACATAGACCTCTCTATATAGGATTATGAGATTAATGTCAGCAGTGTAAGACTGGTTAGTAATAGAGATGCACCTTTGGTGCATGCACCCGCAAAAAATGTTAAGTATTTAAATCTGTAACAATGAACCTTTAATTAAAATTGGCAGTAATTTTAGGTAAAATACATGCATTTGGGATTGTACATTGAAGTGCAAGCTTTTATTAGTATCAAAGTAATCCAGAAAATTTTAGTTGGAAACTGCAAAAATTCTTCTTTCCCAAGAAATTTTTAATTGTGGCCAGAAAAATTTCTAGCCAGAAATTAATTGCTGGCCAGAAAAACAATGAAAACAACCCCTATCTCTATTTGTCTCTATTTGATAAAAAGTACCAAAAATTAATGAAAGATGAAGCAAATGTTTCAAAATATTCCACAATACTGAGTTCTGTAAGTTATTAAAACGTAGGAAGCAGCGTGGTCTGCAGCATTTTTACCAACCTATTTTTTTGTCACTGATAAAATTTTATCTCAGATTTCTCTAGTAACTACCAATAATATATTATTGCACATAAATTTGAAAACATTTTTTCTATGAAAGTATTTATAGTAATAGCTATTTTTTTCAATTTTTCCCAAAAGTTATGGAATAATGTAATAATTTAGAATTTCAGAGGCACTGTTATGTAGTAGTTCATATGTGTATTTATACCCATACTGTACAAGGTATGTGTACGTTTAGAATATACATCCTATATATGCAGAAAAACTATAGTACTCCTCCTAGAAGTTTTCAGTTCCTTTTTGATAAACAGGACATTTTGCTTCAGGATTTTTATAGCCTTTGTATTTTCATTCTATTCCTTGGATGCTTCAGACACTGAAACAGAATCATTAACTAAGCCAGCTGGTAGGATATATATTTAATATAGATCTGAACAAAGTATATGTATATAAAGGTATATTCTGCTAGTACAGCTGAGACTAGTAATTCATGGTAACACAGCAAATCAACTATAGTAATATTACAGTATAGTGACATATCATTTACATTAAGATCCCAGTATTTATATTTCTCTGCTATATTGTGTGTTCAGCACAGCTTTATGACAAACTTGTAACTGCATACAGAGGAGTGCTGGATTCATACCTTGACACGATAAAAATAAACATAACAGGTTGCATTTTTTCAAAGTTCTATTTAAAGTGTACCTAGTCATATAACATATGCATATATTTAGGTACACATCTTTACACATTTAAACCATAGAATTTCTTCCACATCAAAGATCAAAACAAATATAAAAATACAGATTATGGCAAATATACCATCTAAATGTCTTAATTCACCTGTACTTGTATGTATTTCTATAAAACGAAACCTTTTAAACTACTGCTGCAAGGACCTTAAAAGTGTAATTTGCTCCCTGAAAATTCAGACAGTAAGTTATTTATATGGTGTTTCAGTCTGCCTGAAAGTAAAATCAAAGGTGGTGTTTTGTCTCATAGCTTTTGTGAAGACTGTGTGCAGAAAAATTGTTCTTACATTTTATAATACATATAGGTGACAACATGAAAAATACCAGGCTGTTCTCTGCCTGAAATATATTGCATTCAAGGCTCAAGATTTGCAAACATAGCTACTGGATTATAGCCATGCGGTCATTAATTTCATCATAGGTTGTGCATCCAATTATTTTAGTCAGTTCTCAGACATATTCCATCCTAATTCACATCGCCTAGATAAAGAAATCAGCAAGGACTGTGCAAGATACAAACTGAAATGGAATTTACCAATTTATTAGTTCATTCTTAATTCCACTAGAGCTACTGTGAAATTTGATGTTGAAATTTTTGGGTGCAGTATTTGTGCCACTATGTTTTTAATATATTTCTTGATAAATACATCTAAGTTAGGAACCTATTTGTTCACAGACACACACGTATTTTTCCTATGAAGTCACTCCACAGCAGTTTAGTGCTTAGAGTACACTTGATTTTCTTTTCCTGTTTTTAAAAAATAACATATATAGTAACATCTAAAAATTTGTTGATTGACCCTAGTTCTAGTTAAAAAGAACAGTGAGTCTCTGTAGATAGCACTTGTTTTCCAAGAAGTTAGTCACTCATCTAATATTAGCTGTAGAATGTATAGGTTTTACATTATCTCACACAGTAAAAGAAAGGAGAGAAAAATAAACCATCGGTCTTTAATGTCTTATTTGTAATTCAGATGGTAGAGATACTATTGATCTTTGATTAGTAGTTAAGCGTGGATCACTGAGCAGAATGCAAGTACAAGTGGGCTCGAGCTAAAAGCGAACAAAGTACTCCACTCACTGCTAGCTGTCTCCTCTTAGAAGAGACGACTGCAGCCTGATTTTATGCATTGCCCTCTGCCAACTGGAAACATAAAGGTAAGTTGGAACTCCATTCCAACCAGTTTATCTGGCACTGGCATGAACTGCCAGTTTCAGAGCAGTGTCTAATTCATATCTAAGATTTTTCAAATCTTAGTAATTGACTATTTCAACCCGGCATAGAGAAATTTAAAATTATGAGGTGTTGCTTGAGCAATCTGGTTTTGACTCCTTGAATTATGCATGGGAGTCAAAGTGGGGACTGCTGATGGAAAAAACATCAAAATAAATTCATATAGTTGTAAGGATTTTATAGAGACCTCACCTTCAAGGCAAAGTTTTATATTAGCTTTAGAAATCCTGTCTCTGTGACAGTGTACGTTCTTCTTCATGTCAAATCACATGCAGTTTACAATCCAGAGATTCAGCTTTATTTTACAACTGCCCACTATATAATACAACCCCAGAGAGCTGCTTTAGGGACAGGCATTAATTTGAAACACAAGCTTGAGTTGCGGAGCTTAAATAGAAATTTTAGTTTGCTGAAAGGATGAGAAATAACAAGCTGCAGTTTCAGTTTGAATTTTATTGGAATAAGAAACAATTTAGAGTCTAGCCTGGCAAATAGTGATACTTGCTTAATATAGAAAACTGTGTTATCAAGATATTTTATCTTTGTCATTGCTAGATGAATGAAAATTGCATGGGAAAGTTTACCTTCTACATAAAGAAATACATTTCCATAGAGAAACTCATATCTAAATACCACTGTTTGTAAATGTATACTAATGTGACAATGCTATTTGAATAGCTAGTTTCCATTAACTGAACTTGTCATGCCAGGGCCTAGGATATGTTTAAATCTTCATTTGCAGTTAACTAAATGATTCCAGTTTACCTCAGTGGGAGTTTGATTGAGTTATACAGAAAGTGAAGGAATGGGTCAAAACTACCTTTTTGCCTATACGTATAAAGAGGGACCAAACTCCTACCCTTGGTAACATCTGCTTTACCTATTCTTTAGTGTATTCAGCTATTCCTGATGATGTCCAAGGTACCTTACAGATGTAACTGAAGTTAGAATTTGAGCCCTCTGTGTATTCATATGGCAGACACACAAATGTGTCTCAAAGAATGTAGTGTGAAATGCACTGTAAATAGTTTCAATATACACTGCTATTATAGTTTAATAAAAATCTTAATCACGGTCACTAGCCACTGAGTTTGTCTATTTGTATTCTTTTAACTTTTAAAAATATTTGATCAAATATATAGTTTCTGGGCACAGTATTTTTGTATCAGGTTGAGATGGGGTTACTCTGTATATTATGTTCTGCGTTTTAGTAGTATTGAAGTCATAAGAATGTTACAATCTTGCTTCTGCTGTCCCACAACTATTTACATTACTTTTGAGAATCATTTGTCCTCCTTAGTGCACAATTAGAGAACATAGGTTGTTTTCTGTGGTCAGACTACTGCTTAACTACTTACTTTCCTCATACTTCTCTTTGTACTGTTTTCATGATTTGTAAAATAAAAATGACCAATGTCAATGTAATTTTACTGTCTATTAGTATTATTGAGGTTGAATCAATAATCAGTGATTATCTGGATAATCAGATTATCAAAATCAGCACTGATTTTTCCTTCGCTCAAATAATTGCTTCCATAAATATTCACTGCATATATTAACAACTTCTCTGGGTCCTTCTATTGAGAAGAACTTCACTATTAATATCAAGATACTCCTGAAATAAGCACTGTCATTGGTATGGTATTCTTTGTCAAAAAGCAGTAACAACAAAATAATTCACTCCTATTAACCACTAGAGCGCACTACAGCTACACTTACCAAGAATTGTCAGAAAGCAGGCTATTTATTGCACAAGTAGAAGTGGCAAATACAACTGTGGGAATTGTGTGAATAAAACTAGTCAGTGTTCATCCTTACCTTCTGCCCCCAAGTATCAATTTTTTGGGGGCAACAGTGTATAAGATATACCAAAACAGTCAATCCAGTGACTTCAAAAAAAAAAAAAAGTGTGTGAAAAACATTTTTGACAATAAAGCCACATCTTGTGTAAAGTGCTGATGAAGAAATAGATCCAGACCAGCAGCCTTCTTGGCACTTCCTCTCTTTTGCCAGTTAAGTAAGTTCTCTGCAGCAGCAGATGGGTTTTTTTTAGCTCTAGGCAAAACCAACAAGTATGTACATCCCTGACAAACAACAGTGCTATTCAAAAAGTTATGAAGGGCCAGATTTAGTCCAGCACAAAACATGAGCACTGTTCGCCCAAACCAACTGCAATTGGCGAGTGCAACTGAACAACTGTCTATGTGCATACACATATATCTGGTAACCATGTGCTGCTGGGACTGCAAGCTTTCCACTCACTCACCAGCTTGGTCATGCTCCTGCTGGACTACTTCAGTATTTGAGTTCTTTCCTGAGAGGTAGCACAGTTTTTACCAGGAGGATTAGAATATGTTCCTTGACTACTCCAGAAAAGAACATAGCCTTGAAGTACAGTCTTTTTTCTTGAAAAAGTGAAAAATCTTACACATCATGCACAACAACCATGACTCTTTAACAAATGGAAAAGTCAATGGCGTGTTCCTCCAGACCTATTTTTAATAATAGCTGTAAGAGCTCTAGTGGAAATACATGGCACGTTCCTCTGAAATCTCACCTTTTAAAAATTTAATGAGATAATTCAGACGTATGAGTTTGCTACAGTGATTCTTGAGCTTTAGGATCCTTAGTGATCTATGCAGTCAAACAGCCACTGAATTTCTCAGCTTTCAGAGGCAGGTAGCACATCTCAGTTCTTATAAAACCATAACTTTAGAATTTCAATTCCAGTTGAAAGATATCTCAACAATTCATAAATATATTTTCACTTCAATATTCTCAATTCAAATATTTTTAAAAACTTGGCTTCCTGTTATCCCCCAATATTCCAAGTCTTTTATTTAAGGTGGATTTTTTTCTTTTTTCTTTTTTTTTTTTTTTTTTTTTTTACATTTTTGAGTAAGCTGTTTTCCAAACAGCTGTATTATTTCCTGTTCTGAATCAATACTATCAAGATAAAATCCTCTTTCCTGATGAATCACCAGGATAATCAATTCAGATATAGTCTGTTCCTGCCCATCCAATGGTTCATAGTAAGGTAATAATCTTTGCATGAGTTTCTTTTGTTTTAACACCTAAGTTTGAAGTACCTTCTGTAGCAAATCAATATATTTTATAGTGTATCAGAATGTGTACCACAGCACCTACACATAGTACCCCAGAATACCTCCTTTGAATAAACTATATTTAGTTGTCCAACACAAGATCTTTAAAGAAAAAAAATAAAAAATGACACACACACAAACACACAGAGTAAAATACATCGTTAACTCATACCGCTAGGTTACACGTGATACATTCATATACGTGTATTTCTTCAAAATATTCTTTGTAGCATTTAAGTCACTGCCATAAGTGATTTTATGATGACAAGAGATTTTCATGGAAGAGAAGTGTTATCTTCATTTTACAGATAAACAGAAGGATTAACTTGATCAAGGTTACACAGAAAGTCTGTTTCTGACCTGGAAGCAGAACTGAGATCTGGGTCCTAGCTGTATTTATGTTGGCAATGGGTCAATACCACACCTTCTTTCTTCACTGCAACTAGGCCAGATTCAACTATTTCTGGTAACTCTTAAGACTAATTTTAGGATGAACCAATGGATGAAGCAAATACCAAAGCTGGCAGAGCTTTAACCTTCTGCATTTTGTTTCTAGATTTTTTAAGCTGGAGCTTATTGGCTCATGTCTTTTAGTTCTCTACAATACTCAATGCTTAAATCATGCAGCACTTTGATGTATGAGTGAAAGCTTTAAGATCCAGAGCTGACTACTAACTTATCACACAAATGGATTCTATACTCACAGAAAAATTCCAATTAAGTTGAATCTTGATGTTGAGCAAGTTGCAGCATCAACAGCAGCAAGAATATTCTTCCTGAACAGCAACAACAAAAAAAAAAAAACCTGATTGAGCATGATCTAATCCTGCTGCAATACAGCATCCAATTGCAAAATGTACATCGAGATGGCATTATTTAGGCTAAACTATTTAGGCCAAACTAAGCTCCTTGTTTATACTCCATCTATAGTTACACTAGAGTTGGTTTATTGATGTGAGACCATGCAGACATAACCCCAAAGCAATGAACTATCTATCTGGGGTGTTCTACTGAGTTACAGGGATTTGATACCATTCCCTTTGAGTTTAGTAATTTCATACTACACCTGCTAAAACTGCAAGTTCATGCACATCTTAGGCACTTGAATTTTAATTCTTGAAATAAAACTGGGAGCCAACAGAAAGTTAACATGGGTATAAGAGAACAAAAGAAAGAACTAATTGCCAAGTCAATGTAAATTTGAGTTTTGTCATTTAAGCATTATGGTAAAACTTAACAATAAGGGAACCAGAAGTGCTTAAGTGTGCCTGAATCCCTTTATTATCCATGCTAAGACACCTAGAAGAATCATCCAGTAGAACACATGCCTCAGTGCTACCAATTCAGTTCACAGCTCCCTGGCAGAAACCAGTTAATCTGCATGGCTTTAGCATGATTCGCATTTATTTAATTTATATATTTTAATATGTTTATCTTAGCCTTGAGCCAACTGTCATTCTGTGGAGTTTACTGTTCCACCTTTTAGGCTAAACAACTTGAAGACAAGACACAATAATTGGACAGAAGAATGTAACTCTCTGCAAAAGCAATTTTTCACCCTGATCTTTGAAATCTCATTGTCAAATTTCACAGCGTAATCTGATGTGACATGTACTTGATTATCAGATATTGGCATGATGAGATTAGCATGACCATATAAGTTAATAATTTATATTCATCCACCTCATTCAAAGATCAAACTTCAAAGTTAAGATGTCTTGCAACCTATTCCTAGTATTCTAAAACTGACAGGTTGAAGAATAAGCCACAAAGAAAACTATTCAGCCAAAAACCACAACTTTCATGATTTGCTTGCAACCAGCAACACTAGGAAGAAGTTTTCTTAATGTATTATCTAAGCAAAAAATATGCTTGTGAAAATTGTGCAAGGAAAGGCTATGTTAGAAAAACGAGACACCTTGTGGAATATTCAAAACAACTATATAAACAATTTTAATCACAACTTTAAAGCAGAGGCAACCAGAAAAGAGATTTTATATGGAACACGAAGAACTCTGAATAAGGTGTAGATGGTAAGATTTTTACCACGGAAGAAAACTGCAGTCACATTTTACTATGCTAAAATTCCTAAACAATTCATATAAAATAGGACAGAGGAAAAAATACAGCTGCTTGTTCTATGACTGATGTTTCACCAGGCCTCAAAGAAAGAATAGTTCTTTATGCTGTTAGTGCTACACTAATGTAGAGAATGTAACGTAACTTTATAATTAGATTATAAATATAGATTGTAGATTATAATTCATAATCAGGAATGTCATTCATAAATATTGACCATTATAGAGATTCTTACTTAACTGGTCTATGGGGATGATCTGAACAGCATCCTGAGGATTCCTACGCAGTAAAAAGAAGGACGCAGGAAAGGAAAATAGGATAGAAATGGAGCAACAAGCTGAAACGCAAAATTCAGGATGTAGCTACTTTTTGTTCCCATGGCAAAAGAGTTTGGAGTTGCCTAGTTAGCTATACTTTCAAGAGACATGAAAGGACCAAAATGGGGGAAGAGGCAAGTTGTGAGCATAAAAGTGAACTGGAAATCCTGTGCTTATCAGGTAATTTATGACCCTTTACAAAAGCACTTTCCCATTTTTTAATGCTCAGAAAAATTACAGGTAGAGGTAGAAAGTCATGCCTAAGCTGTGGGGTGCCACTACTCCGAGCTATTTTTTCAGAGTTGAAGATGAAATAAATTTAAATCAAGGAGAATAATCAAAAAAATTAATTGTTTAAACACATATCAGAAAAAATAACATTTCTTAAATCAAATGAATCAGTAGGTTCTTAGAAATAACCCAGAGCCCACCTAAAAAGTAGAAAACTCTTGAAATGTTCAAAACAAACTTAATTTCTGCTTATTTGTATAGATTGCATATACTTTCAAAATAATGTGAAATAAAGGGCTATTTCCATTATTCAAGAGTATATTTAAAGTAGCTGTCAGTAAATACACATATCCTCTCTCTCTCTCTCTCTCTATATATATATATATATGTATATATATACACACACACACAAAAAAAAAGGCCTGGCACTTTTTGCATATGAAAATACTGTACATTACACATATAAATACATTACATATGCATATTCTTCTACTTATATAATACCCGAACTGTTATACAGCCTGACTTTTCTACTGTATCAACAAAAATGGTTCAAAAGCTGTACTACACTATTGACAGAAGAAACATTTCTGTACAGACTAGGGAGAAAACAGAGTTGATAATTAACTGCTAATCAACAATAAGTTGCATGAACTATAACCAGATACCAGTTACTTTAACTTATGGATATTGCATACATATAAAATATACACAGGCAATGATAACTACAAAGGGTCAAAGGATGTTCCAACGCAATGAAACAGATTAAATAAAATTTGCCCATTTTCTAACTCGTCTTGACAGTAAAAGAGGTATGCATGATGAGCACAGTACTAGACATAAGCTATGATGCCCTCTGAGACATTGCGTTCAGATTCAGCACCACTCTAATACAATCACACATCTCCCAATTTAGATTTGGCTGTTTTTTATCCAGTTTGGATCCAGAGCAAATATACTAGCGGGGATATATTTCCCTAAGTCAAATGCCCTGCTTGCATAATAAGCTGGTGCATATCAAAGTGAGATAAATACTTCGCTTTCGTCCTGCATACAAGACCATGATTCTAGTACAGAATTCTAGTATTTTAACTATAAAGACAAGGTATTTTTTTCCTATCACAAATTATGCCTTTTCTTTACAAAGATCATTTTGAAACCTTTATATAAAGGCTAGGCAATAAAAACTGCATAAAAACATGGGAAGAAACTGCAAGTAAAAATTATAAAATGAGACTTGAATGCTTTGAGGTTCTTCCGTCACCATCGAAAGAGTAATTGGCAGATTTGAGATAACCTCTGGTAGAGAGACAAGCTATTCCAGGAAGAACTGGTATGACCTGGGTTGGAAAATGAGGTGTTCACAACGGTCATACTAGTTTACAAGTTTACTAGTTTACAAGTTCCACGTTTTGGGGGACCAAGGGGTCTGGAAAAAAAAACTGAATACAGAAAATTTGAAGAAACTGCTGAAACTTAAATTTAGAATTTAAAGAGCAGGGATGAACATAGAAGAGCATCACAATTTTCCCAGCTCAGCACTAAAAAAGAAACAAGTGAACAGTTCTCTGCAACGATCTGCAGGCACTCAGAAAATCCTTCCCTCTATACTTGTTAGAGCAAAACATGCTTCTATAACAAACTGCAGCAAAGAAGAGGTTTGTGTTTGGTTTACTGAGTAAATATATATTCTCCAGTAGTATAAAGATTAAAGAGCAAGAAGTTCAACACAATAAAGAGAAAAAAAAATCAATACATTTTTTAAGAGCTGCCTTCACTGGGCAGCTGATTTTATTACAGTTCACATACGATAAGATGAATGTATTATCCATACTTAAAAAAAAAAAAAAAAAAAAAAAAAAGATATTGTCGTGATTTGCTAGCAAGGAGGGAGTTTCAGCAGGCAGGGTGGATATAATTGGATATTTGATTAAACTACAGTAAACTTTAACTTGAAAAGATCAACACACCACTTGAGCTTTAGCCAGCCACATCATGCTGTAAATTGCTTTCAAGATAAGCCCGTTCATAAATTCTCTCACCAAAGCCCTGCTACTGCGGGAAAGTCCTCCTCCAGACTGAAACATGGCATTTAACGGTACTTGGAAAGTAGACAGAAATGAAAACTATGAAAAGCTCATGGAAGCAATGGGTAAGCCTTACTTTTCCAATCTCTTCTAAAATGGTAAGACCACTGTTATGGACCACAAACTCTATCTGCTTGTGCATTACCTTCTGACTATCCTGTCAATTTGCTAACCGGCATTGTGCTCTTGTGTAGTGTCTTGCATTTATTTTCAAAATATGCTGATTTTCCACCCTCAGGAAAAAAAATAAGCTACTGGAAAAGGTTCTGAAATCTACATTATGCTTATCTAAATGTAACTTAACTAATGCCAGAAAGTTTTTTTCACACTTACATTTGGTATAAGGCAGGGGAAGGTATCTCTAAGTCTACATTTGTCTGAAAAAGGCTCCAAGAATTTGAATGATAAATTTTAAATAAAATTATGGCAGGAATATTATTTTTGATAACATCATAAAAACTGCTTTAAAAATTACAAAGAAAGCCACTAACTAATTGTCATAGAACACAGGACACATTTTAGCATCTTAGTGCTTACTAACTTGTACAAATTGAGCATAAGTATATAATAAGCATATAAACATAACATAGCATATATAAGCATAAATAAGCATCTTAACAATTTAAATGTGTACAAACTGAGCATAATAAACATATAATAAGCATATAAACATAACAGTTGGAATCTGTCTTATGTCAAATCTGTACTGCTGAAAATGGCTTCATGAAAAAGTGAAGAAAAATAACAGTATGGGATGAAAAAAATGTTCATCATACAGAAGCAACTGAAGAAGATACAATGTTGTAACATATTTTTCTATTTGATAATGATTTTTATAGGTCTCAACGTAATGAAAAGGAAGTTAGGAGCCCACGATAATCTGAAGATTGTTATTCAACAAGACGGAAACAAATTTACTGTGAAAGAATCAAGTAATTTCCGATCCCTAGAAATTGAATTCACTCTGGGAGTTAATTTTGACTACAGTCTGGCTGATGGGACTGAACTTAATGTAAGAGACTTTTCATATGATAACAACTTTATGAAGAACAGATTTAAGATGAATGATTCTAGTTTTAACTTTTAAGGTCTTTATGGTGTGACTATGCAGATATGTTTGCATCTTATACAGAAAAACACAAGTTAGTCTCAACTGTTAATGGAACTGCATCGTAACGTGAACCTCAGAGCTAGATATAATGCTCAAAAATGAGATTATCCAACAACTTTCACATGTTGAAACTCATTGCAATTGCACTGCTTGTACCTAGAGCAAACAGTGGGTGTTTCTAAGGAACAACTTTCTTGGTACTTACAGAATTCATTAAAATAAGGCATACAAAAAAATATAATAATAATAAACCCCTACTAGCTTGACTAACATGCAATTAAAGTAGTTTTACTAAATACTCAATTTTTACAGCACTTTTTTTTTTCTTTTTAACAAAACCCTTCAACTTTTAAGCACTGACACAGTCTTTATGCAAAATCAGTGCCACTGTTATTGAAAAAGGGTTTTTTGTTTTTTTACTTGCTTGTTTTTCCCCCCCATCACAGGGCTCTTGGAACACAGAAGGAAATAAACTTGTAGGAAAATTTACTAGAAAAGACAATGGCAAAGAGCTCATGGCATTCAGAGAAATCATAAATGATGAACTTGTCCAGGTGAGTCAAGCAATAACTTGCATGCAACTTAAAACTACAACAAACTGAAACATTTTCAAAGCTGTTGCCAAAAAGTTAAATTCTTTCTTCAAATTATCTACCTTTAGTTAAAATTCTTATAGTAATTACCAAAATGTAAGACTTTAGAATGAAATTGGTAAGATATGTTTCCTAGTAACATGAACTGCATCTTACCAATGCTTTCTGAACTCTATGTACAAAAGCTATCATACTATACTCATGCACTTTATGAATCAAGTATCAGTGTCTATGCTACCAAAGTCTTACAATGCCAGCATCCATGTACTACATACGTATAGAAAATTTCTCAATAAAATCTGAAATAAATTTCGATCACAGTTACTGACTTTTCCCCTTAATTTCCTAACAGACCTATACATATGAAGGAGTTGAAGCCAAGAGAATCTTCAAAAGAGGCTAAATACTTCATCCAGAACAGGACCAGAAACAAACATTAACCAAAAAAAAACCCTACATTTTTCTACATATCCTCTTCCCCCATTCTTGACCCTTCCACAGCACCAACTTGAGATTACTTGCCCTGATGAAAACAGAAGCTAGTTCATTGCATCTTTTGCCTTGATTACATCAACTACGGTTTGCTACAAGTACTGAAATGTTTTTAGTACCAACCCCTACCTGACTCCTCTAATGTTAAAGTCTGCTTAGAATATTTTCTACAGATGGAAATAAAGTATTTTTAGACTGATTCTAAATTGACAACTTGGTTTCCTTAATATAATATTCACGTTGATAAGGGATTTCACTGTGTATTCAATATTGTATATTAAAGATTGCAAAATATAAAAGAATCCTGAAAATAGACAAGCTTCTAATATTACTATGTGTAGAGAACATGAATAAAAACACTGAAAGCTTCTTTAAAAGATAAAGAATGATTTTACACTAAGTTGACTTTAAGTCACAAGTGACAAATATGCATAAGGTTCTGCTCATGTTGTCCAGTCAGTATATGCTGATTTTAATTCAAACTCACCTCCTTTGAGGCACATCATTTCCTAAGGGTTGAGGAATTCACCTTTTGTGGGTCAGAATTAGTTTAGACCTGTTGTGTCCACTCATGACTCATGGTGGTAACCAAGTCCTGTCCCTCTGTTTGTGGGGCAGCCTGCTCCTCACGATTGCATCCTTTCTGATACACGCATGGAGCATACTTGCATGCTACAAGAGTTCTTGTTTGCCAGTAAATATTTCCTGGTGCTATTTTCTTAGTTTCTGAGGATTTTGCAGTCATATTTCCACTGTCATAGTTGGGGGGGAATAAGAAAAAATCCTGTAACCCTTTTGATGAAAGGTCAAAAATACTGTGCGGATCTGAAAACAGCCTTGAGCTTTAATCCCAAATAGGAATGCAGCCTTACCCATAACATCTCCTACCACTTCATGACAGTATTCCCCAATGACAGCATGTGGCTAGATGACTTTCTGTCATGTGCTTATTTATATGCTATCATAGAACTCAATTTAAAATATCTTTTCTCAGCAGGCACAACTATGCCTTTAATGACTTTTTAAGTATCTCACAAAACTTTCTATTTTCTTGACTCTCTTTGATTGTCCTTTTCCAGGTCATAAATAAAGGAAAAAAGAAAAACATTTTTTTCTTCTGTTGTTTCTTTACTTCTCTAGCCTACGCTTTTGTTATCTTTAGAGTCTCATAGCTCCCTCTATCGGTAAAATATTCTCATGAATCAAAAAAAAAAAAAGTTTTAACTAGGATTAGCACATAGCATCCTTCATTATAAATTGTTATTTCTCCCCTCCAAATATTAGTTGCATACAATTTCCTGCATAGATATTTTACACAGTCTTATTTTAGGGGACAGATATACCAGATCACAAAGAAGAAAACCTTATGCAGTTCTTCTGTAAAGGGACGTAAAACGGGAAATCAAACTATGAAAGAAAAAAAAAATCTAAATCTGAAACTACTATAAAATTCTCTGCAATTCTAGGTTGTTTTAAGTACTCAAGTCTTTAAAGGGGAATAGGAAGAATAACACCTTGTAACAAACCTCATGACAGCTTCTTTCACTAAGGCTATGTGCATACAACACGAGAACTAAACTGTAAAGGACAGGCTGTAATCGTTAAATTTCCATTACAGAGTTTGACCTTCATTATCAGCTGTATGTCATTATTGCTTCCAAACTGTATAAAAATACATTAATGATATGTCTCTATGACTTCCTATGTGCAGGAGCTGGAGGAAGCTGTTTTATTTCCTTAAAAATCTCATTGGCTGAAAGGAAAACTTTATTAAGTTTCTGAAAGTGTTCTCTGTTTTCTTTCCTGAATATGCTGACTCTGCAACAATCTCACACCCTTCTGGTTCAGAAAGTCAAACTCTATCCCCCACCTGGTATCAACACACTTATCACTACCACACCTGCAGCATAACATATTTATATGCTCATGGTTATTTTCATCTTGATTACTGAATCTCTTCTACTGTCTGATAGGAAGGCACAATTTACAGGATTTTCTTTCTGTGAAATACTACAGAAATTATTCTAGTAGTTTTGGGGAGGATTACATACAAGACCATGAACTGAAAACTAATGTGATATTAAAAAAAAAAATCAAAATGTATGACCTGGAAAATGTTTAACAACTGCAAATACTGCAGACAGAAAACTGAAAAAATATCTTTAAAGATTCAGTCTGTAATATTTGAACTAGAATTAGCAATAAATGTGGGGAAGGGGAAAACTCTGGCAGTGGAAGAGTTTGGCAAATAAACAGTATGGTCATTATATTAAAAGGTGGATGATAGTCTAGTAAATTTCACTAAGAGACTTCTGTTTTCTATTGTTTACATAACTACAATAATCTACAACCTAAGAGGAAATAGTTTACCTTGAGAAAACTGCAAACCACGCTCCCTTTGCTCAAATGAGATTATTTAATATATTTGGGAGTAAGGGGGGAAATACTGGTATTATTATTGTTCCTCAAAAAACTCTGTAACGTAAATTAAAGTTCATACTTATTTTTAGTGTTAATATTAACTGAAGGAAAGTAATTATCCGTAAATGCATGTCTATGAGATACTAAACTTTGATCAGATACTTCTCACCTGCTACCTGCATTAAGTACTGCTTTGTCTCCTGTTATGATGACACAGTATTAGTAGCTATAAGGACATAAGTAGTTACACTCCTTTAAATACTGACCGAACCAGTTGGACTAAGCACACCACACCTACCCAGACAAGGGCAGTATGTCTCAACCATAACATCAACCTATGCTATTTCTTTTAGCTAATCAACCAATCCCATACAGTTATAAAAACAAAGCTCACAGGCTAGGTGAGTTACTGTCACTTCTTAAAGAGTAAAAGCTCCATTAACCTTTCAAGCAGAGAAATATAGCTTAAGACTATTTTAAAATCCTTAAATATATTTGCACAAACATTTCCTATGGGTTACTTCGGTTTTCTCAAAGGGATGATCTTTCTCCAGGATGCTGCATCAGGAAAAAAAAATCTTTGTAGATGTTTATTTCCTTAAAAGTCTTAATACAGTTTAACAGGCCAACATGATTTAAAAGGACTCACCAGCTGCCTTTCCCTGCACCCCTGTATCACCTGGCCAAGTGCCCAAGGACCAGCAAACACTGCTGCCCAAGTGCTTCCACACTGGCTAACGCCAGCCACCAGCTCAGGTAGGCTCACGGAGTCTTCAGAAATCCCAGCTTTCTCTCAACACCAGCAGTGGAAGTGGAGCATCCATAAGGCACATCTTCAGCACACCATGGTGCAGCTCTGCTACACAGCTATGGGGGGGTCTGTCCCTACTGCCAGTTCTTCAGCGCTCAGCCCTGCTAGACGATGCAGGCACTTTTCTACATGGAACAACTACCCTCTGTCACAGACACTGAGGCCACTCAGCCTGCACAGGCTTTTGTGACGGGTTCACGACCAAACCAACTGCCACAACAGGCGCAGGGTCACCGCAGCAGCTGCCAACCAGCAGACTAACAACAACGGCAACCCCGCCGCACGCAAGGGTTAATTAGCGTTAACTAGCGTTAACTGGCGCCAACGGGCCTCCGCGAAGCCAAGAAGCGCGAAGCCCCGCGCGAGGAACGTGAGCCACGAATGCGCGTGCGCCGCGCCGGCCGCCCCGGGTTGTGTGAGTGGTCAGGGTGTACGTGCGCCCCGATCGGATTGGCCTCCGGCGCGGAGCGGCGGTTGACGCTTGCGCAGTGGGAGGGGCGGTTCACTTCGGCGCTCCGCGCCCGGCAGCAGTATGGAGGCGGCGGCGGTGCAGCGGTCGGAGCTGCTTAAGGCGGAGGAGGCAGCGGCGGGGGGCAGCCGGCGGTCGCTGTCGGGACAGTCCTACTGGCTGGACCTGTGGCTCT